CTCTTCAATTGGATAAACTCTATAATACCCGTCATCCATATCTCTAAAATGAACACATATTCATTCATACACTTTGAACAGAGAGAGAGAGATCAAGTTATGAACCAGAACCCTGTGCTATTTTAAGATATTGAAATGTGTATTTCCTTGGCAATAAGTTTGACTTTGTGCATGGTCGTATACTTGCAACGGCTATCTCCGAAGCCAATAGGAGTTCAATTAAGAAACTAAGTGGTGCCTTTGCTCTCCAGGTATTTGTCCATGACACCAGGTTTAAGTTTACTAAAGTGGGTGAGTGAGTTTAGATTTACGCCGCACGGCATGACGAGCGAACACTTTAACCACTAGGCTACCCCACTGCCCCTCACACAATGAAGTTATTCAATAACGAACTGATTTCATGAAGAGATACTTTCAATTCACCAAATATACAAGGACAAGGACTGGTACAGCTGATGCGCATCTTCAGCCTCCTCCGCCCAACCCCGGGGGATCAGGACGTGATCCTCGACATCGAGGCTGCTTTGGCACACTCTTGAACTGGAACACAAATGGACATATAGGGATGCTGACCAAATAGGTTGGTTTGTTTGTTTGTTGTTTAACGCCGCACTCAGCAATATTCCAGCTACATGGCGGCGGTCTGTAAATAATCGATTGTGGACCAGACAATCCAGTGATCAACAGCATGATCATCGATCTGCGTAATATCGGAACCGATGACGTGTCAACCAAGTCAGCGAGCCAGACCACCCGATCCCGTTAGTCGCCTCTTACGACAAGCATGGTTTACTGAAGATCAATATTCTAACCCGGACCTTCACGGGTATCAGGTTTACTAAAAGAAGAGTGACTGTAGTTATTTCTAAAGATTGAAATCCACATCAATATTTTTCTGTTGTAACCTCATGGAACCGATGGAAGTACACGGGGCCAGATTATGCATGAAGGAACTTCTGTGTCAACATATGGGTGACAAATTCTCACAGTAAATCCATTTCCAGTGTCCTATGTGAGATATTATGTCAAATACAACCAGCTGACTTCCACACGAATATGAATCTGTGTAAATAACTTGACTGGTTAACTTTATATATGTGGTTTGTCGAATTGTGTACCGACATTTTACTTCTTTGTGTGACCGCGATAGGTTGAGCAAATGCAGCGTTGAGTCTGAGATTCAGGTTGATCGTAGGCATGAAGGTGATATAACTCAATACTCAGAATGATACAATCTGGTGATTCATTTTATATTCTACATGACTTGTTCAAGACATCAAGCAATTTGATTCAGCAAAATCTGAACGAATTGCTTGGTAGAATACATATGAACCCATCCCATTCCTTTTAGCGCATCAACACCTCGGCGACATTGTCAAACAGTCACCTGATTGTCAGAATCGTCATCAGTATGCGTTAGTCCATGTTCTCAGATTGATCAACATTATCTGTTGCAAATTGAATGAACTGACCCCGTGTACGCCAATTTTTGGAAGCGTTGCACTTAGTTCCTAGTTCTTTACTAGAGATAGTAATAACTGAACAAGATTTGGAGTATCGTGCTTGTCGAGAATGCTATTCCAAACAAATCTTAACAGTAACAGAAGATATGTTGAGTAAAGGAAGTCCAGTAATTTGAAGGGTTGTGTTCAGGCTAACTTGAATATTTCAGATGTGGTTGCGTGAGGTGATCTGGTTCAACGGTGCTTGCATTAGTTTTTCACTTACAGCTGACTGAGTTTAGTTTTACGCCGCTTTTAGCAATATTCCAGCAATATCACGGCGGGGGACACCAGAAATGAGCTTAACAAATTGTGCCCATGTGGGGAATCGAACCTGGGTCTTCGGCGTGACGAGCCAACGCTTTAACCACTAGGCTACCCCACCGCCCCTTTTCACTTACAGGTATATTGTACATGATTGCACGACAGTTACCCCCAACGACATGTGATACCCTGGGATATATAGTCACGCCTGTGTCAGTCGGAAATCTTTTCGTTTCCTGGGCAACATTTTAAGATGGTTGATAAACAAGCATGCACCACCTACTTTTAAAGTATTTGAAATACTTAAAGTAGTTGTCCTTTAGTAATTTAAGTTTCAAAAACACCGATAATATTCAATTGTTTACCGGCAGTAAAAAGGACAATATTGTTTGTACCTTCAAAACCTTGCTAGAGCTTTTAACAAGTAGCCAAGCACCCGTGAAGATCCGGGTTAGAATTGATCTTCAGTAACTCATGCTTGTCGTAAGAGGCAACTAACGGGATCGGGTGGTCAGGCTCGCTGACTTCGTTGTCACATGTCGTCGTATCCCATTTGCGTAGATGAATGATCATGCTGTTGATGCCTGGATTGTGTGGTCCAGACTCGATTATTTACAGACCGCCGCCATATATGCTATCCCAAAAAAGAAACGCACAGGCATTTTGTATTTATAAAGATCTATTAATTTCCTTTTGTGTTCAAAGAATCGTCAAAATATGTAAAAAAGTGTTCATAACATCATTTTACACAATTGTGCAAGTTGAAAATCGATTTTACCTGAAAATGTTGATTTTGATGAGATTTCTTACAAGGATTAAAAAGGCATCGCCGCAACGCAACAGAAATCACCTTGAAGTTGAAATTGTGCAGCAAAAAGCATACACTGTCTGGCTATAAAAATCCAGATTACTTTCGGAAATCGACATTCGTTTTGAAGAAGTTTCAAGGTCAAATCACTTTGCCACGTCTTGACGCTGCGACACGGAACATCGCCAATGAAAGAATGTAAGCTGGAGATTATCAATCTTTTGTTGTCAGGCGTCTGAATGTTAGTCTTAGCACGATATCACGGCCTGCAGCTCGTTACAACCAAACAGGTACATAACAAATGATCGTCCCCGTACAGGCAGCACCCTAGCCACCACTGTCGCCCAAGATCGGTACATCCGGGTACTACATTTACGTGATCGTACTGCCACGGCCGAGAGCACAACAGCCAGGGTGCATGGACTTCGGAGGATATCCGGTCAAACTGTACGGAACAGGTTGAGAGAGATTGGACTGACAGCCAGGAGACCCGACGTCGGGACCGCGCTACGTCGTCGCCATCGCGCTCACGGTATCTGTTAACTAAAATTATCCACTTGGTATAGTCATGACCTTCTTCTAAACTGATGTAAACATTTATGCACTAAAGTCTATTTGTGGACGAGTTATGCATGTTTGAAAATACAGCATTTTCGCAACGGATTTCTGGCCTATGCGTTTCTTTTTGGGGATAGTATAGCTGGAATATTGCTGAGTGCGGCGTAAAACTAAACACACTCACTACAATTAGACTAAGCTAATGATTTTGATTTTTCCAATTTTAAGAAAAAGATTGGTATGTTTTTCATTAAAAACAAGTGTTATGTATCCAGTTTATGTGAAACATAAGTTTTTTTCATGTAGATTTCAGTCTGTTTTTAAATGTTGTTGGGATTTCAAATCAGATAAAATAAATACCAGTTACTTTACAAATAATTGATAGGGTTCACTCAATTCTGCTCACACCTGAGACCAAATGGATCCGCCTATGACCCCTGCACTGCCCCACCCCCCAACACACACACACACACCACCCCACCACTCCCTCTGGATCCAGTTGCCAGATAAAGTTAAAGTTTAAAGAGAACGGGCTTATCCAGACCTCGCAACAACTTTAATCCGTTATGAGATGGCTGATGAAAAAAGTTACAAACCATATGTAGATCACATCAATGATGCATTTTGCATATGTTTCTTCAAGTCCTGTTAAATCTTGATACAATATATCCCATTTATCACCAAGGTGCGTATTCTTACAACGACCGCAGTGCATAATTATGGGAACTGAATCACCGCAGTCCTCATCATCATCGCTTTCAATTGTAGCTTTTAGCTGTCATTATAATCCTTTATCAATTAGGCTAACTATAGCCTCGTTTAGTTAAGAGTTTTGTGAAAGATTCTTCTACTTCAATCTACTGTAAACAAAGGGGAGACAACTCTCATATACTCGCTTCCAATGCGCTGGAGTGTCCAAAATCCAAGTTCAAACCTCATGATGTGATTTTTTTGTTCAAGTTTACTTTTCATTATGTACTATTTTGTACACTTCAGTTGTATGTGTTGCAAGATTTTTTACCATTTTCTGAACTTATTTTCAGATAGAAAAGAAATAATTGAAACATACCGTTTTTCATATTCTGTGCCCCTAAAAGCAACTTAGCTATCAATAGCATCAACATCCAAGGGAGGACTTTTTATATATTGTTTACATAACTATTGTAATTGTGAATGATATAAACACAAAACAAATGTAGCCATCGTGTACTTGTACAACATGTATTTTAGCTCCTATAGTGTGCAATATTCAATATTGGGACCAATACCATGTATGACAGTTTCATATGAACAGGTTAATGAAAGGCGATAAGTAAAACTGACAATGAGACTAATTTATATATTTCTATGAAATATATATGCACATATTTTTAAAGGAATTGTTCTGTTCATTGAATATGTTTGTGTCGTTTTATAGACAAACAGTGGTGTAAATTGATTGGCCAGTATCACTGTTTTCGATAATGTGATCAATTCATATTCGATTAGAAAATATTGAGATGACAGGATATCAAACTGTAACTATGTTTCTACGAAAATTGTTTAAAACAATATAAACCATGTCATGTCTTAAGTTGGACAAAGGGGCGGTGGGGTAGCCTAATGGTTAAAGCGTTCGCTCGTCACGCTGAAGAGATATCCATATGATCTGAGTTACAATTAATGACCAAGTGTTAAGCATAGGGGAGTTATGCCCCCGTATCTTTATGGTGGTACACGTGTTTAGCAATCATTTGAATAGCTTCCCTTTGAACATTTTGGAAGCGCTCCTTCCCAGCGCGTGACACCTTGCTAGCCTAAGCTCGGCGTACTAGCTTTCGCTGTGGGGAGCTGGCTAGTCGGACAAAGTTCAGATACAATATTCTTTGCAGTAACCTCCCTTCGTTAATAACAGAAAGATGTCATTCAAGCGAGTAGGACCTGAGTTGCACGAGTCAAACAACTGACGATGTAAACATGGAAGAGGGTGGCAATGCTTTCCGTTAGCTCTTTTCGGGTAGGCGTAACAAGACATCGCGTCAGCAAGCACCACAGTGACAGACATACACAAACAAGAGTGTATAGTTATGGGGAACGTTGCCGTTTACTGCGTAGTTCAATAAGATATAAACATTAGTCACTGTCAACATCCCTTCGTTACTTAAAATTTCATCTGGTTATCAGCTCGTAGATGACCATAAATTTAAAATTCGGTGTATAATGTTGTTACAGTCTGTTTTTGTCTAACACGTCCGTTGTATGTACCAAGTTATGATATTTCAGTTATGAAACACATCCGAGTTTTAGCTAGACGAGCAGTTGTTTCACTTCCGTTTTTCAACATTCAGATGGGTTCATTTTCTAGGACATCGGATCCATACTCCAAGTGTGTTTATTCAGGTTAGGAGCCAGTGAGCTCAAGAGAGATCGATGAAGTGGCACTTAAGAACATTTCTTGAGATATCTATTCTTGAACATTCACTGAACTTATTGAATGTAATACATCAACTGGTGATTTGTTATTCTATTCAGATGTGTGAAGCTTCGGGGGTTAGAATTGTTTTCAGCAATCCATGCTTGTTGGGTGATCAGGCTCGCTGGTTGACACATGTCATCGTATCCCAAATTTGCAGAATGAAGCTCATGATGTTGATCACTGGATTGTCTGGTCCAGACAACTTACACAGACTTTCAAATTGAGCGTTACATTTAGACTTGACAATTCCTGCTTGAGCGTTGAACTATCGTATCGCATGCTCAGATCACTGCATTGGCATATATTATCACTAGAACAGCGACTAAACAATAACTAAAAATTGAGTTATTTTCTTTGGATTGTTGGTCTGATTAAAGCCATTTTGGGCTGGTAACATTTTGAAGTTACCAGCCCTGATGTCTGGCTGGGTTTTTGGCTTATTTCATACACTGGCTCAATATTTCTCAAACACATTTTATCATCACTATTTGATAGTGATTCATAAGCACATGCATGCTCTTGATATACATCTAGTTGGATTTTTAGTTTGTCTGATGCAGACCATGTTATTCACAGGTATAGCTGATAACCCTGACACAAGTTTTAAATAGCAGTATTAAAATATGTAAGTAGGCATTGATTTGACATAAGCTTTGTTGCAAAATACAATTTTCACCTTTTCCCTTGAACGAATCATTTTTAGAGTAAAACATAAACTAAACATGCTAATTTTAAAATTTGATTTTCCTCAAACCCAGTCTCTAATAAAACACAGTTGTTGTATGACAAAATGTTCTGAGAACTTTGTAAATGAGAAAATCAGGTATCTGATAGTGTGAGGTACATAAATATATATAAGTCAGTTTAACATGTTTAAGATGTTCAGGGGGCGGTGGGGTAGCCTTGTGGTTAAAACGTTTGCTCGTCATGCCAAAGACCTAGGTTCGACTGTAACATAGACTTACAACAGTTGTAGCACTACGATAGCTTTCTGAAACAGGACCCTGATTTTAATAGGCTTTCCATATCTTTTTCATGTGTTTCTCGTCTCCAGCTTAAACAAGCAGGAGAGCAGGCAAGCAAATAAAAAAACAAAACCCTTATCTTCAACTAAATGTTGAACATTTGTAATAAAATTTGAAAATGTTGATTTGTGATTAACATTCAGGGCTTTGCTTTGGAAACAATTGTTTAATAGATGTAGGTAAAGAAAGATCAAGATGATCTGTTTTTGCTAAAGGGTGATGTGACATTATTACTTTTATCATCTCATGTGGGAATGAAAATTTTGGGCTAGTGAGAAATGGGAAACACAAAAAATACTGGCAACCTAAGTAATGCCATTTAGAAAGCGGTCAATTGTTACACATTTTATATTTGAGATAACACTTTCTCAGAAAAGTAGATTCTAGTACATTGCCGGCTGAGTGGGTTAGATGGCTGAATTTGTGTGCTGGCGATTAGGTGCTTGGCGAGAGTGTCGGTACTTCACTGAGAAAGTGTAATGCCAAATATTACATGTGTAACCTTATTAATTAGTAGTTTGATTCTTCAGCATTGCACTGGAAGATTGGAATGTGACAAATGTGTTGATATTTTTACAGATTCCAGTTATTCAACATGAACACCAGGATAGCTAAGACCTACCAGTATGAGTGATAAGTATGATGAAGATCTGTACGACAATCCCTTCTTCAACGCCCTCCAGCGCCAGTTTCCAGACATCCTTAACAAGGCAGCAGCAGATGACTGGCTGGTAATGTAACCAAGGCACTTCAGTAAAATATCAGCTCCCTAGGGAGTATACAACCCATGTCATAGTCACATTATCCTATCATACTACCAGGTACCCATTTACTGCTGGGTGAACAAATACATATTTTGAAGAAAGTCCATGAAGTGAAACCACATGTGCTTCATAGTGGGTCAGGTCTGAGTCAGGGAATATTGCTAAGCACTCACTCGTTCTTTAACAGGGCAGTATCAGATGACTCGCTGGTTATGTAACCAACGCACTTCAGTAAAATGATTTCAAGAGAGTAAACAACTCGCGGTGGAATAGCCTAGTGGTTAGAGTGTTCATTCATCATTGGTTCAACTCGTGTTTGATTTCCGCCCTGGATACATTGTGTGAAGCCAATTTCAGGGCTCCATTCCTCAAAGCGATCGTAGCTACAATCAGTTACGATCAACTTTACAATTATCGTAAATAACAATTTATTGTCGTTCCTCAAAGCTATTGTAAGGGAATTGTAAGTATCGCGATTGTAATTCTTTCGATCATAAATTACAATCGTGATCTTCTGCGTGAAAGTTAGAAATAATGCGTTTACATTACTTCTGGTTGGTGAGAGTTGCTTCCCCTTTCAAGCAGACGAAAAAAAATCCACCCTTAGCAAGAAATCGCAAAGTAATTAAAACCTTGCTTTCTACGGATAGTAAATGTAAACGCTGGGTGTCCGAGGATAACCCAGGTTCTAGCATGTTTACCAGCTTCAGAATGGAAACCCTTGTCATTCTGTACCTTGAAAATATTTCAGCGTCATTGTAAACATCAAGAACACGAACAACGGCCTCGAAATGTCTTCTCAGGGCCAAATTTCTGTCTCCTTTGTTTATGAATTACAACAAATACCGCCATGTTCTCCATACACAACAAACGGCCGTAAGTAAGTTACAGACGGACATAAGCAACTCACGGAAGTAATTGTAACTTACAACTATTGTAACTTACAATTGCTTTGAGGAACGGTGGAGTGATTGTAAGTTAAAGTTACAATTGGATTGTAGTGATTTACATCTATTGTAGTGTTACAATCACTTGGAGGAATGGGGCCCTGGTGTCCTTCGCTGTGATATTTCTGGAATGTTGCAAAAAGTGGCGTAAAGCCATACTTGCTCACTCAGATCTAAAAAGCTTCTAAACTACATCCATCTAAGGTTTTAGAAGATATGGTTCCTGTCAAGATGCACTCTGTTTACCTTTACACGACATTAAGTTACGCTACAACTTTGATCTTTGAAAATTGATGTTTTCGAGAAAATAGTAATTAAACAGCCTCATCTGCTTGTAATCCTGAATGATATAAATTTTGGGATGAAATAACCATGTTGCCATTTCTTTTGAAACCACTTAGTGCTTGAAAGTCTGAGGATTGTATATCAGTGTTGAATCCAGGAATTGAATGATTGGGGACATTTGGGTCCTTGTGTTAAATAGTCAGGATAGATTTTTAAAAATGGTTGACACATGTCCAAGGCATGGTTTCTTTTAGAACAGTCTTGGAGAATAATGAAGAAGCAAAAAATACCTTAAAAATCACAGATATGACACAAGTTTCATCAGCAACACGTGATAAATAATCCTATTTTTGAAAGCTTTTAAACGTGGGGCAATGCACAAGGATGCATTTAGGCCATGGGTTTACCAAACTGAAAAGTGTATTCAGTTTCACAATCTCACTTTCTTTGGAGAGTAGGACATTCTCATTATCTGTGTTATATTTACAGTACCCTGTCTAAGAAGTCCTATTTGATCATACCCTTGAAGATCCGGGTTAGAATTGGTCAACCCATGCTTGTTGTAAGAGGCAGCTAACTGGATCGGGTGGTCAGTCTCGCCGACTTGGTTGACACATGTCATTGTATCTCAAATGCATAGATCAATGCTCATGATGTTGATCACTGAATTGTCTAGTTCAGACTTGATTATTTACAGACCGCCACCATATAGCTGTAATATTGCTGAGTTAAACAACCAACAAACCAACCAACCTATTTGATCAGAATCCCTATATGTCCATTTATCTTGCCTCACACATAAATGTCGTTTTCTGATTGGCTGAGCACTCTTCTATTATTTTCAATGTACCCCGCTTACAAGCGAGTAACATTTTCTATGTACCCCTCTGGGAATGCCGAACTCATTTGGTACTTTGTAGTAGTGATTCTTTATCTCAAATAACATTGAATCACGCATGATGTACGGAAATTACCGATGTTTTGCGAATGCAAATCGAGGGAAGGGAGATAACTCTAAATTTGTTTTTCTTGTCGTCTGGTACTCCATACTGTGATCGATACCCGTGCTTCAAACAGTTAAAAATTACCATTGAGGTGTTCGGTAAGATAAATATGTTGTTCACTGGTCCCTCAGGGCCCATGGGTTGATGTACCCTTGATGTTTCTACATGTTCCCCTCGCCTTCGGGCTCAGGGAACATAAACAAACATTGAGGGTACATCAGCCCATGTCCCCCTCGAGACCAGTGAACAACTTATATTGTGTTCCAGGTGTGCATTCCCCAGTTCAAGAGTGTGCCAAAGCAGCCAGTGAGCCCCGCCGATGTCGAGGATCACGTCCTGGTCCCCCGGGGTTGGGCGGAGGAGGCTGAAGATGCGCATCAGCTGTACCAGTCCTTGTCCTCAAAGGTGATATCTAGCCCTGTTACAGTCCACTTGTATGTTTGGTGAATTGAAAGTATCTCTTCATGAAATCAGTTCATTATTGAATAACTTCATTGTGTGAGGGGCAGTGGGGTAGCCAAGTGGTTAAAGCGTTCGCTCGTCACACCGAAGACTCGGGTTTGATTCCCCATATGGGTACAATGTGTGAAGCCCATTTCTGGTGTCCCCACCATGATATTGCTGGAATATTGCTGAAAGTGACATAAAACTAAACTCACTCACTCACTCATGGTGTGTTTTTAGGATTTAAGTATATTCTGAGTACTGTCAGGAGTTCTGAGTATATACTGAGCATATCTCCGTATTGCATTATCCACATGACCAAAGAGGTTAACCACGTCAGCAAGCTGACAAGGTATGAAAGTCATCTGTGGGATCACTCCACGTCCTGCTAGTTTAACATTTCATAAAAGGACTGTGAAAAGCATGTCCTGCTATTATCTTCTTCTTTCATTCCAGGACTGTGAGATTGTGAAAGGCAGGATTGTCACAAAGCAAGGATATGAAGTTTCACAGGAGGTAAAGAAAATGTTTGTTTGGTGTTTGATGACACACTTAGAAATGTTTCCCATACATTGTAGCAGTCTGTATATAGAGATGCCAACCACTCCGATTTTGGCGGAGTTACTCCGATTTTCAAATACAAAATCTGCTGTCCGATTTCACTTTAAAAAACTCTGATTTCTTAGAACAAATTCTGAATTTATTTTTACGGTATACAATTTCATAAGTCACCGGTGATTTATTTGATTGAACACTGTTAAAACCATTCTGAAGCTTAGTGTGTGATCCTTTGGGTGTCTGTTGTGTATATTGTGTGTTATTGACAATGAAGTTTCACAAAGTTTTTCCGAATGCATATCATAGTCCATATGAAAGGGAAACAAAATGGCAGAGCCATCTACTCGCTCACCCTCAACTCGCACCTTTGGTGCTCAGACATGGCTTTGTTTTCTTTAGATTCAGGGTTGGCATCTCTGTGTATATAATTTAGACCAGAGATGCAATGGCATGCATCAACCAAGTCAGAGAGCCTGACCACCTCGTCCCATTAGTTGCCTCTTACGACAAGCATGGGTTACTGAAGGCAACCCAGATATTGGGACAATTAACCATTAAAAAGTAGTATTGCTTTTTGCAGTTATGATTTCTTAAAATTAAAACAGTTTACATATGTGTTAAGGCGTTGCTTTTATCTATAGGTGATGATTCTGTTTGAGGAGACTTTCCACACGGACAATGACGAGAGCTACAGGGTGGTGTGTGTTGACAGATATCTCAACTCAAAAACAGGTATCTAACTCAATAATGTATCTTGTCTTGTCAAATTGCTTTCTTTATACTTTTTTTTTTTTTAAAACAAGAACTGCTGTAGCACAGCTGATGCAGCTATGGTTGTGGTACTAGATGACCCCATGGACTTGGATTCAATCTTGATGACTGTGATGATGACATGTTATCACACATTGAGAATGTGGATCCTTGTTTGTGATATCATTTGGGGTGGTTGGCTAGCCTTAATGTTAAAGCTTTTATACCAAAGTCCTTGCTTCCGTTCTCCACATGTGTGAACCCACTTCTGGCTTATAACCATATTCACTCACTTTCTCACCCACCACTCACCCACTTTATCTCTCAATGTTTCACCAGTGAAGATCCGGGTTAGAATTGATCCTCAGTAACCCATGCTTGTCGTAAGAGGCGACTAACGGGATCGGGTGGTCAGGCTTGCTGGCTTGGTTGAAACATGTCATAGGTTCCCAATTGCGCTGATCGATGCTCATGCTGTTGATCACTGGATTGTCTGGTCAAGTCTCAATTATTTACAGTCCCGCGCATATATCGGCTGGAATATTGCTGAGTCTGTGATCGAGCACCTGCGCGGTTTTCCAAACAGTTAAAAAATTACCATTGAGGTGTGTAGTTCTGTAAGAATAGAGTTCATTGACCAGGGCCCATGAATATGATGTACCTGACAGCTTATTATTGCTCCCTCGGGCCGCCACTCAGGGAACATGCTAAACAAACATTGAGAGGGCATCAGCCCATGTCCCCTCGGTGACCACAGTGAACAACTTACATTGTGTTCCAGGTGTGCATTCCCAAAGTTCAAGAGTGTGCCAAAGCAGTGCTGCGAGCCCTCGCCGAAGGCCCAGGGATCACGCCCTGGTCCCTCCGGGTGGGGCTGAGGAGGCTGAAGATGCGCGATCAGCTGTACCAGTCCTTGTCCTCAAAGGTGATATATCTAAACCCAGAGGCCCAGATAAGCTGGGCGCGATCCCGGTAAAACACGATAGAAAATTTCCATCACACATTGAAACATAATTGTTAAGGCACTCAATTATGCGATTTGAAAATGTTAGATACGCAAAAGTTTAAAACAAATGCTGCAAGGAATATATTTATAAAAATCGCCATGTAATGAAAAAGACATCTAATGTTATCAAGATGTACTGTTAGTATAGGACAAGTGTTGCACTGTCAGTACAGGATGAGTGATTTTTATGAAATCATTTCCATTATATCAAGTTGGTTTTGATTCGGTATGACATAAGGCAGAATATACCTGCTTAGTTAACTTACTCAATGACATAATACTTAGGTGAGTAAAATGACTGAAATACGCACATATTTGAAAGCAGTGGGTAACGGAAAATGAAATACCCACTTAACATTCATAATACCCACTCCAAAAAAATACATTGGGTACAGTACCCACATGAGCTAAATCTTATCTGGAGCTCTGTAGCCCTGTTACAGTCCACTTGTATGTTTGGTGAATTGAAAGTATCTCTTCATGAAATCAGTTCATTATTGAATAACTTCATTGTGTGAGGGGCAGTGGGGTAGCCAAGTGGTTAAAGCGTTCGCTCGTCACACCGAAGACTCGGGTTTGATTCCCCATATGGGTACAATGTGTGAAGCCCATTTCTGGTGTCCCCACCATGATATTGCTGGAATATTGCTGAAAGTGATATAAAACTAAACTCACTCACACACTCATGGTGTGTTTTTAGGATTTAAGTATATTCTGAGTACTGTCCAGGAGTTCTGAGTATATACTGAGCATATCTCCTTATTGCATTATCCACATGACCAAAGAGGTTAACCACGTCAGCAAGCTGACAAGGTATGAAAGTCATCTGTGGGATCACTCCACGTCCTGCTAGTTTAACATTTCATAAAAGGACTGTGAAAAGCATGTCCTGCTATTATCTTCTTCTTTCATTCCAGGACTGTGAGATTGTGAAAGGCAGGATTGTCACAAAGCAAGGATATGAAGTTTCACAGGAGGTAAAGAAAATGTTTGTTTGGTGTTTGATGACACACTTAGAAATGTTTCACATACATTGTAGCAGTCTGTATATAGAGATGCCAACCACTCCGATTTTGGCGGAGTTACTCCGATTTTCAAATACAAAATCTGCTGTCCGATTTCACTTTAAAAAACTCTGATTTCTTAGAACAAATTCTGAATTTATTTTTACGGTATACAATTTCATAAGTCACCAGTGATTTATTTGATTGAACACTGTTAAAACCATTCTGAAGCTTAGTGTGTGATCCTTTGGGTGTCTGTTGTGTATATTGTGTGTTATTGACAATGAAGTTTCACAAAAGTTTTTCTCAATGCATATCATCATAGTCCATATGAAAGGGAAACAAAATGGCAGAGCCATCTACTCGCATCACCCTCAACTCGCGTAGACCTTTGGTGCTCAGACATGGCTTTCAGCCAGTCATGGCTTTCAGCCAGTCATGGCTTTGTTTTCTTTAGATTCAGGGTTGGCATCTCTGTGTATATAATTTAGACCAGAGATGCAATGGCATGCATCAACCAAGTCAGAGAGCCTGACCACCTCGTCCCATTAGTTGCCTCTTACGACAAGCATGGGTTACTGAAGGCAACCCAGATATTGGGACAATTAACCATTAAAAGTAGTATTGCTTTTGCAGTTATGATTTCTTAAAATTAAAACAGTTTACATATGTGTTAAGGCTGTTGCTTTTATCTATAGGTGATGATTCTGTTTGAGGAGACTTTCCACACGGACAATGACGAGAGAGCTACAGGGTGGTGTGTGTTGACAGATATCTCAACTCAAAACAGGTATCTAACTCAATAATGTATCTTGTCTTGTCAAATTGCTTTTTTATACTTTTTTTTTTTTTAAAACAAGAACTGCTGTAGCACAGCTGATGCAGCTATGGTTGTGGTACTAGATGACCCCATGGACTGGATTCAATCTTGATGACTGTGATGATGACATGTTATCACACATTGAGAATGTGGATCCTTGTTTGTGATATCATTTGGGGTGGTTGGCTAGCCTTAGTGTTAAAGCTTTTATACCAAAGTCCTTGCTTCCGTTCTCCACATGTGTGAACCCACTTCTGGCTTATAACCATATTCACTCACTTTCTCACCCACCACTCACCCACTTTATCTCTCAATGTTTCACCTGTGAAGATCCGGGTTAGAATTGATCCTCAGTAACCCATGCTTGTCATAAGAGGCGACTAACGGGATCGGGTGGTCAGGCTTGCTGGCTTGGTTGAAACATGTCATAGGTTCCCAATTGCGCTGATCGATGCTCATGCTGTTGATCACTGGATTGTCTGGTCAAGTCTCAATCATTTACAGACCGCCGCCATATCGCTGGACTATTGCTGAGTGCGGCATCAAACTGTACTCACTCACTCACTCACTGTTTCACTCACTGCCTCACTCACTTTATCAGTTTGTGTCTCACTTTATCACTCAATGTCTCATTCACTTTCTCGTTTTCTTTGTCACTCTCATTCTCTTTCTCACTCACTATCTCTCTCCTCTTCTCACTGTCTCATTCTCTTTATCACTCATTGCCTCATTCTCTTTGTCACTCTTATCACTCACTTTATCATTCAATGTATCACTCACTTTTTCACACTCTTTCTCATTCATTTTATCACTGCCAGTCTCACTTACTCACTCTCTCTCACTCACTCACTGTCTCAGTCACTTATTTTTCTTTCTCTTTCTCACTCACTCTCATTCTCACTCACTTTCTCATTCTTTCTCACTCTCATTCACTTTCTCACTCTCTCTTTCACTCTTTGTCTTATTGTCTTTCTTTGTCAGTCTCGTCACACTCTATCTCACTCACTATATCACTTATCGACTTTTTTTCACTCACTCACTCACTCACTCACTCAAGATGCTGTAACCATTTTCAAGTTAAAAGAATCCAGCGGTGGTATGATTTTGATATAGATTCTTGTACAAATATCTTGATTTTGTAGATGCAACTCTTTCTGAAGAGGGTAACACCATCAAGAGACCTACATCGTTTGAGCAGTGCATTGACCTACTCTGGAACCATACTGGTACGTTAGTGAAGATTAATATGAGATTGTTTGACAGTTATTCAGGATCATTCGGTTCAAGTTCTTGCCTCCTCCAGACCATTGTCACTGAATTCAGATCTGAGTTCTCTTACAGATCTTAGCACATCCTGTAACTTATCACAGTTACGGCCTGGATGACCAAGTTTGTTGAAGTCATTGTTTTTCTCTCACTTAAATATCTGAAATAGAAGACATTTTCTATACCCTAATACAACCTAGGCTACATACTACAGTCCGTTTGAATTCATTTGAGACCGATGAATTGTTCACTAACACAAAATCTAATAATTGCAACAAAATGAAACTTTGCACAGTCACATGAAATTGACAGACCAACTCTGATTATTTGTCTCATAATTTTTGGACGCCCGAATAAAAAAGTTGTTTAACAAACGATCATTATTATGTTGTCACTTTTCGCTATTTCCTACAAGGGGGGACCACTTGCTGGAAGAAGAGCCACAAACAAATGACATCAAACGGACTATAAGCATTCCCGAATTTTCTTTGTTCAGGTTTCAAACTTTGAGTCAGTCTTTTTATAAAATATTCAGGTATTGAAGTCTTCGGTTCTACTGAAGATGCACTAATTTGAAGATTTGTGGGGTTGAACCCCAGATTTTCCTTCAACATGACCATTGGTCAAGCAGTTGTAGTCTGAATGGTCTTTCTTCTGTTTGAACCTTTTGAGGAGTCCTACCCTCCTACCCAGACAAATTACCCTCTCTTAACAGGCACCAACTTACAAAGCATTTCTTCCTCTATATTTGTTATTTTACCTTATCCTGACTCATGATCTTTGCTTATCTCCCTTTTCCTTCCGAATGGTAGTGGAACAACACGATGAAAAACACGACTCAAAGTCAATAAATTCCAACAAATTTGTACAAATATTACATCGTAATTATAACCAAAACCATAGACAGCTTAATTTAGAAGAATAGGCCTAAATATAAATGATAGATTGCCGTATACGGGACTCAGTGCTCGCCCAACCATCCGCTTGGGCGAAAAGGGAGAGAGTGACAAGTCTGGGCACGTCACATGGTACGTTTGCGCGGGAAAGAGGAAGGGAGGTAACTTGTGGGTGAGTATTGTACGTCCGCTTCGGGAACTTCAAGGGATTAAAGTGTTCCTCTACCATTCGGAAGGAAAAGGGAGATAAGCAAAGATCATGAGTCAGGATAAGTATAAAATATCAATTTTACTTTAAAAATTACATATTTGCAAACCCGTGAAGGTCCATGTTAGAATTGGTCTTCAACAACTTTTGTCATAAGAGGCGACTAGCGGGATCGGGTTGTCAGGCTTGCTGACTTGGTTGACTCATGTCATTGTATCTAATTTGTGTATGCTCATAATGTTTATCACTTGATTGTCTTGTCCAGACTCGATTATTTACAGCCACATAGCTGGAATATTGCCAAGTGTGGCATTCAACAACAACCAAACCAAACCAAACCAAACCATTAATTTTTAAACTTATCTTATCTCATGGCTTGCCCTCTCTCTCTTCCTTCCACACTGAGTGGAACGACTGTAAACTTTTTCCCTCACCCATGTATCTTGTGCCGCTCTTGTTAATGGACAACTTACCACAATCCATGCGAGGCATCCGCCACTCTCCTCAGCTACCCACGTGACTACTGCTCACTCATCATTCTCAATCTCATCGAGTCCCTGGCTGGACGTACTTGTAAACATTGAATACTTCAAGTTCCCTTTTCCTGATTGTTTTTCCTCCACTATGAGGAAATTGGAAGATAAGTGGAAATGCAAGTTTTGCGCTGAGTGCAAGAGGACTTTTTCGAGTTTTTATCCGGACAGTTTGTGTGTTGACCGTGTAGGGTAATGTAAGGCTACTAATTAATGGAACAAGTCAGATGAAGATTTCAAAGCATACCAGCAAGTATGTTCATGTTGTTTAGCCGACCGGGGCTAGGAATGCTTCGTCAGAATGTAGTCCATCTGCTGCCAAGAAAATTCACATTCAGCGACCATCTTTAACTCCGAAGCGGTTACTATCGCCTCCCTCGGGAGTGAAGGCTTTCTTGGCCGCTTCGTCTGACTCGTATTTATCTGAAGACTTGAGGAAGTTGCTTGGCATGCATTCATCTCCTCTGGAGTCTTTGTCCTCTAGTGTGGTGGTGATTGATCGACCAAACTTTCCTGAAACTGTTGCCGAACCGACGGATCTGCAGATGACACTTTCTACTTCTCGCTCGCCTACTGTTGCATTACCGACGGGGGAGGAAGGAACAATGCAGGCGCTCACGGTTCAGCAGCCGTCCCCCTCAGCGAGTAGGATAAAGTCGGTTGTTATTCCCGCAGAGTACTTCTCGTCGTTCTGAAACTCCAAAGCGTTTGTTGCACAGTGTTTCACATTCAAGTTCATCTGACAATGCGGTACGGCCACACTCCAATCGATCTCATTCGTCTCGGAGACCGCCTTCGTGGTGTAGTGGTTAGAGCGTCCGCCCGGAGAGCGGAAGGTCACGGGTTCGATCCCCGACCTCGTCATACCAAAAGACGTTAAAATTATGGTACTTGTTGGTCCCTGCCTGGCGCTCAGCATTAATGGGTACATCAAGGACTGGTCGGCTCGGGAGTCAGTATAATGTGTCTGAGTCGGGTATTCATGCTTCACTGTGGCATGGTATCTCAGTGAGCTAGCACTATAACAGCAGCTTAAGTCTGGGCTAGTACAAACAGCTGCACATACACATACACTCGCATGCACATCGTCATTTGAGAGAAATATTCTCAAGCCCGACATTAAACCCAATTTCACCTCACCTCACCTCATTCGTCTCAGAAGAATGGGAAGAAGAAACGTCGCCATGCCGACTCATCTGATTGTGTTGACTCGAATCATGCTTCGCCTAATGGCTCTGTCTCATCGTTGAAGTGTTTCGGCACAACCAACTGTTGCTACGCAGTATGATCGCCGTGTGGAGTAAAAATCATGGCAGCGATCTAGTTCACCTCCGCCTTCCCAAACCAGTTCGTTAGGCCGAACTGGTTCAACTCGCAAACGCCAATCCAGTTCTACGAACCGATCTGTTACACCTAGGCCTAAGGAACAAAGTCGCCGAACTGGTTCATCTAATCGAACTGATTCACCTTTTCGTACGGTTTCAACGCATCGCTCTGTCAGCCGAACCGGTTCATCAGACCAAGCGATTTACCTCAGCGCCAGCGATCTGATTCAACCAGGAGGGATTCACCCATACGTCATCGTGGCATCATCAGGGCGTTTTGGTTCTCCCTACTGTACTGCAGTGCCTCGTTCTGATTCTTCTGGTTATCGTCATCGTTCCAGTTCATCTGGCAGAGGCACTTCACCTCATCCGATTGGTTCAACTTTGCGAACTGATGTATCTCGGAATATCTCTTCAGTTCACACTGATTCACTTTACCGAACTAGTTCTTTTGATGCTTCCAGGATTCGGATCCCTATGGGAATCCTACATCAAACTGGATCGTCTGGTTGAACTGTTTCTTATCCACTCACTACTTCGCCGAACCGCTCAGAGCGTTATGGGACTTGGTCGCCTCACCATGATGATTATCATTCACGTTCTCGCTTGCCTCATTCAGTTCTCGGTTCTTGGCCTTCAGTTCGTCTTCACTCACCACCTCGTCTCCCACGAGACATTGTTACAGTTCGTTAGATAGACGTTCCCCCTCTCACCGTCCGCCTAATTCTGATTCATCGGCTGCTGCTCCAACTCGGATTTTGCCGGAATCTTGGTCTCCATCAAAGGCCACTGGATCTGTGCCGTAGTGTCATCGCCGATGCCCTGTCACGCTCCAACCAGCCGTCGCCGACTGAGTGGAAATTACATCCCAAGGTCTTCCAGACGATGATCTACCCACTGTCACGGCGCCTAGTAGACCTGTTCGCCACACGCTTCAACAAGCAGCTCCCAAGGTTCTTTTCTCCGATTCCGGACTCCCTTGCATGGGATCTAGACGCTCTTGCAGTCTCTTGGGAGGGTCTAAATGCGTATGCGGTCCCCCTCCAGCTCTACTTCCCAAGGTAGTGCAGAAGTTGGGCACCACCAAGAAGATTCATCTGGTTTTGGTCGCGCCCTTTTGGCCAGCGAGAAGTTGCTTCGTCAACCTCAGAATTCTGGCAGAACCAAATCCGGTACCACTTCCCATACGAAACGACCTCCTGCTTCATCCGCAATCTACACAAGTCTACAGAAGTCTCTCATAGCCAAGGGCTACTCTCGTGGAGTTACTACAGCTATTACTGCTGCCCATCGGACGTCCACTCGCTCATTGTATGATGAAAAGTGGAAGAGATTTGAAGTCTACTGTAAGACTAGAGGTATACAATCTCCTACTTCTGCTTCTGCGCAGGTCGTTGAGGAGTTTCTTCAGCACTTATTTGCCACCAGGAAGTTCAAGGGTACAACGTTGGCCACATATCTAGCGGGTATTAATTCTGTTTTAGCTACCAAGAAACACGGCAGGGTCTTCTTGGGTCTCCGCTGGGATTTTATTGCAAAAGAACTAATTGCTGGGACAGCCGGATAGGACGTTCACTATCCCACCGTTGTCCACCATACTTGGGCCTCGTGACACTGAAGATCTGACACTGTGTCCAGTTAGGCACTACGCATTTTCCTCACCACATATCAGGATCGGCGACATTTGTGGAAACGCCTCTTTATACCGCTATCGACCACCTCTAAGGCAGAGGTGTCTCGAACCACTTTGTTGTTTTGGATGAGGTCTACTATACTTCGGGCATACACTTTTGCAGGCCTGCCCACTTCTACCACATCCAACCTGCATGAGACGCATGTGCTAGCATTGACTTTGGCGTTACACAAGAATTGCTCTTTGACTTCGATCATGGAGGGTTGTTTTTTGGCATTCAGACAGTGTCTTCTCATCTCACTATTTACGGGATCTCTCAGTGACGGACATCCGGGGGTTGCACCAGTTCGGACCACTTGTTTTGGCACAACAGCTCACCTCTGCTCATCAACGCAGATAAAGGAAGTCCCGGGGTCGGTGCTATTTCCTGTAGTTACTGAATTAAAAGATCAACATATGTTTATCTTTTGTTCTCCTTGTTATGGGTTTAAGAGCTATCTCACTTGGTTGGATACTGAGGCATTTAGATACCGCCACTAATTTATTTAGTGGTTGATTTATTTTGTGTCGCGATGCAGAGGGGCTCACTGACCTCTACTCTACGGAGAAATTACGTCAGTGAAGTGGGTCCTTCCTGAATTCCTGTGGATTTCGTTGCGTTCTGACTCCTAAGTTGCCAGACTCTTCCTTTGACTAAGCTTATGTAAAGGAGCGAGCTCAATTTGATGTTGTTTGGAACTGAACGTTAAACCTTGGAGTTTTCCGATTCAATTTGTTTGTCACCCTCTCTGGTGGCTGATGGGTTGTTTCGAAGCAGGGGCTGTTCCGAGTACTGGTTGCAAAACTGTAATTTACGGAGGTACCTTGGAAATCGTGGTGATGCAAGGTCTACTTGCTTAGCTACGTCTCTTCATTTATGAAGGTTGCAGCCGAACACCACATCGCTCGGGAGCACCCATCTCCCTGGGAGTCGTTGTGCTTAGTAAGCCAAGGGGTCAGGAGACCCATCACAAGCATAGGAGTTGCGTGCATGCGTAACAGGCCTCCCTTGTGCACCGCTATCTACGGTTGTCTCAGGAGTATACAACTTTTGTTGTCCTTTCTGTTCAGACTAAGGGTAATCTGCAACCCGCCGTCCAACCATGGGATAAGTGCAAGCCGTGAGATAAGATAAGTTTAAAAATTTGGAAATTTTAACTATAAATTGTATATTTATATACTTATCTTATCTCACACGATGGATTCCCGTCCACCTCCCCTCTACTCAGATTACAGTGACGGCTCCGAGAATGAGAATGATGAGTGAGCAGTAGTCACGTGGGTAGCTGTGGAGCGTGTGCATGCCTCGCATGGATTGTGGTATGTTGTCCATTAACAAGAGCAGCACGAGATACATGGGCGAGAGTGAACAAGAGAGGCCAAGGGAAAATGTTTACAGTCGTTCCACTCAGTGTCGAAAGGAAGAGAGAGAGGTGCAAGCCATGAGATAAGATAAGTATATAAATGTACAATTTATAGTTAAAATTTCCAATTTGTCCATGTAGAATAGGTATCTGCCCATCACTGCCTGTACAAGTTACCTCCCCTTATACTACAGTATCTATGATTTAGTTTGTGTGATAAGGACCTTAATATTAAGCTAAAACAGAGGTGAATGCAGTGGTAAACAGCACTCTCAAACTAATATGCTGTTATTTTTTACTGCAGGAGGATGGAAGGCAAGAGACAACATTGACAAGATGCTTAACACCTTCTCCATGGCCTTTGACCAACTGGAAGGCCAAGGTCTTCGCAGTATCATGGTCAGTCACAGTGACTTTAGCCAATAAGACCATTTAAGTTTTAAAAAGAAAAACTTAATTATTTTCAGAATTTGAAGAGAGTGTGAATATGGTTTGATGATGCTTAAAGCAACATTCCAATGAGGGAACACCAGAAATGGGCTTCACACAAATTACCGATGTGGGGAATCGACCCAGGTCTTTGGTGTGACGAAAAGGTTTTAACCACTGGGCCACCTGGTGTCCCCCCGTCATGATGTTGCTGGAATATTGCTAAAAGCGGCGTAAAACCAAACTCAGTCAGTCAGTCAGTCCACCCTTTAAGAATTTGAAAGGCCGAGTTATTTGCAATTGTTTTGTTGCAATATAGGCTTGGCAGGCATATAGACTTAAATTTTGTGCTGAATTAACTTCTTGGTTTTGGTATTTATTCTGCAGGATGCAGCAAGTGCACAGTTCACCAAGGTCATGCAGTATGTGCTGAAGGATGCTGTACTGGTGAGATGCATATTTATCGGTAACACATTTTAGGAAAATAAAAGAACATGTTGTTAGGCACAGACCATGTTATGCAATATGTCTTATCCTATTTAGAAACTTCCTTTTGCCTTAAGTGACTTGTGAATCTAACTTTATGTACTGTCAGTTTGTCAGTTTGTATTAACAGATTTTTCCTATAATCAATCATGATTCAATATCTTTTTCAGAAAAGAACAGCTCGCCATAGTACTCACTATATGGAAAACATAAAAATTGCTGTTGAGGTGAGTAACTTGAAAATATATAATTGGTTGCTTATAAGTATGTTGTTGACCTTAAGGAGTTGCATTCATTACAATATTACATAACTTTTGGCATTGCTCCTAAGAGTTGATGTCATGCAACCGCTTCAACATGAGTATGGACTGATGTTTGTATGCATGGAGTGTTCTTTGGTTTCAAGTTTAGCATGATTACCCAGCAACATATACTATTAATCAGCGATTGAATGGAGTCTGTGAGTTTGTAGACTGTGTGTTGATATGGGAAAATGTTGCTTGTACTATCAATAACCTGATTGTCTGGTGCAGTCTTGATTTGTTACGTCATTGCCAAATCATCAGTCCGTAGGGAATTCTCCTACATAGGACAAATATGATTTTGTGTGGCCCAAATCTAACATGGGAAATCCAGATAAAAATTTCTACTTGATGATGATGATGATGGTGATGTATTGATGATGATGATGATGTATTTTTACTGATGATGTTGGTGTACATGATAGTGATGTATTGATAGTGATGATGTATTGATGATGATGTACATGATGTATTAATACTGATTGTGATTCATATTGATGATGTTGGTGATGATGATGTATTGATAGTGATGATGATGTATTGATGGTGATGATGTATTGACAGTGATGATGATGTATTTATACTGATGATGATGGTGTTGTACTGTTAGTGGTGATGATGTATTGATAGTGATGATGTATTGATGGTGATGATGATGATGATGTATTCATACTGATGATGATGTATTGATAGTGATGATGTATAATGATTATAATGATGATGATGATGATGATGTACTCATAGTGATGTTGATGGTGATGATTATGTATTGATAGTGATAATGTATTGGTGGTGATGTCTTGATAGTGATGATGATGATGTAATAATACTGATGATGATGTATTGATTGTGATGATGATGGTAATAATGATGATGGTGCTGTTGCAATATAATGGGTACATTAATTTTCATTAGTCCACACCCTGGTAATCTGGATAACTATCAAATGATCTTGTTCCTTTGAAACCTTGTTAATCTGGATAATTTGACTTAGGACAGTAACTTGATGTTTGTGTCTCATTTCAGACATACTACATGCATGCAGTGTTCAGGAAACTGTTCCGTGTTGTGACTGCATGCGTGGGTTCGGAGGATGCAGACATGAATAAACTGACTCGGAACCTAACCGATCTGACCCTGCAGGATCTGGGCATCAAGAAGGTTTTCAGGTGGGTTGGACATATGAGCACACTTAACTTGCAAATAATTCTGTCAGACAAAAGATCATCCAGGCAATACCACCGTCCGAAAACTTTGATTAAGGCACATACATCTGAGTGACCCTGGTGGCAGAAGGTTTATGAAGGAATTTTGTCGATCAGGATTTTGTTGCAACTTGGCATTATGTGCTTTGAACTCAGAATATTTCTTATATGTTTATTTCAGTAAGAATGTGTCTTTGGCAAAGGTTGAACTGTCCCGGTTGAACAACTTCACAACTCCTGTAGGTCGACTATTTTGTGTGAAAAGAATGGTGGCTGCTCTCACCAAGCCGAGGAAGGGATCAGGACCCACAGGTCAGTGTTAGCGAGATCAGGACCCACAGGTCAGTGTTAGCGAGATCAGGACCCACAGGTCAGTGTTAGCGAGATCAGGACTCACAGGTCAGTGTTAGCGAGATCAGGACTCACAGGTCAGTGTTAGCGAGATCAGGACCCACAGGTCAGTGTTAGCGAGATCAGGACCCACAGGTCAGTGTTAGCGAGATCAGGACCCACAGGTCAGTGTTAGCTTAAGTTTAGATCAGGACTCACAGGTCAGTATTAGCGAGATCAGGACCCACAGGTCAGTGTTAGCGAGATCAGGACTCACAGGTCAGTGTTAGCGAGATCAGGACCCACAGGTCAGTGTTAGCGAGATCAGGACTCACAGGTCAATGTTAGTGTTAAGCGAGATCAGGACTCACAGGTCAGTGTTGCAGATCAGACTCACAGGTCACGATTGATCAGGACTCACAGGTCCATGTTAGAGATCAGGACTCACAGGTCAGTGTTAGCAAGATCAGAACCCACATGTCACTTATAGCGAGATCAGGACTCACAGGTCAGTGTTAGTGAGATCGGGACATAAGTCAGTGTTAGCGAGATCAGGACCCACATGTCAGTGTTAGGGAGATCAGGACCCACAGGTCAGTGTTAGCATGATCGGGAATCACAGGTCAATGTTAGCGAGATTAGGACTCACAGGTCAGTGTTAGCGATATTGGGACTCACAGGTCAATGTTAGCGAGATTAGGACTCACAGATCAGTGTTAGCGAGATCGGGACCCACAGGTCAATGTTATAGATCGGGACTCACAGGTCAATGTTTGAGATCAGGACTCACAGGTCAGTGTTGGTGAGATCAGGACTCACAGGTCAGTGTTGGTGAGATCAGGACTCACAGGTCAGTGTTAGCGAGATTGGGACTCACAGGTCAGTGTTAGCGAGATTGGGACTCACAGGTCAATGTTAGGGAGATCAGGACTCACAGGTAAGTATTAGCGAGATCGGGACTCACACGTCAATGTTAGCCAGATTGAGACTGACAGGTCAGTGTTAGCGAGATCAGGATTCACTGGTTACTGGTAAACTGTATTTAAAGGGCTGGTATCTTTTGCTGTAGAAGACAAGGTTTCACAAGTCTGAGACAAATGGTCTAAGGCTGTGTTGAACCTTGCAATGTGATGGATTGTTTGGAGAATTCATAAAGGTGCAAAACTTGTTTCTATAATGTTACTTTTTGTCTTTACCAGGTACTGAAGACATGATGACAACGGATGACTTTCTTCCAATTTTGATATACCTCATAGTGAAGTCAGAAATACCGAACTGGTAAGCATCATTGTATCAACACCCCCTAGCATTCCTTTTAGTAAATGTTGCCACAATCATACCTGTGGCCAGTTATGCCATATAGGTTGTATTCCGGCTGGTATGGTTTGGATATTGTCTCTTCAAACACAGAAGCCCATCAGAGGTCCACATCACTTTATTCAGCGTCTAAATATGCAATTACATGAAAGTGCAGCAATGGCCAGGCGATGGTCAGCAGTTGTCTAAGGGTCAAGTCTCGACTAAAATAAAGCATTCTCTGTTTATCCCTAAGGATCAATCCTTATCAAACTGTCAAGTGTCTGGTCAGCCTGCAGTATCATCACCTCATCCACAATGTCATGCTTCAGTAGCCAACCGGCCCTTGTCTAACTGTTATTACTGGCAGCTGGTCTGCAAATGACTCTGTGTTGGTGGACATGATTACAATGGTCAAGCTGCGTTGATTTCTATTGACAGCAAGATCATTATTTAGAGAGATATTTAATTGACATAACTTACGGAATATATGATAATATCCCTGATAAAACCTACGCCAAATGGCCTATGATAGTTGTTATCAGAAGAGATGTTTGGAACCTGTCTGTCCATCTTCCGTGTATCAATTGATTTCCAGAGCATAATTCAAACTCTGTTCAATATTTCATGATCTCATTTTGCGAAGATATCAGTGCTTGTACTTGTTTTCTGATTTGACATTTGACATTTTGTAATAAATGACATTGTTCCCAAAGCATAACTCAAAGATAATTCAATACTTCTTGATCAGATCCTTCAAATATTTCATGAACATGAAGCATTGTCCTATTTGTGGAAATAACCCATTGCCTGACGTCCGAGTCCAGTGTTTTTTTCTGTCAGGCAAGCAAATTTGTATATCACGCTATACCGGTGTCCAGTTGACTTTCCAATGTTAATTATGTTGTTTATTTCAAAAATCAACAAGAAAACGGACGGTATAGCGGAAAACTTATCAGGGTAAGTGATTTTACACGTGCCACTGTACCGGAGTACACTAGCAAAGTTATTTCCACCCCTGACTGACCATGATTTTGACAAATTCCAGTCAGTGAAGGGTTAATATCTAGATAATAACTCATGAACTATTTGTTTGTAAGAAGCAAAGGATTAAGGAAAAGATGACAACATCATAATGTGGGTTCCATCACAGTGAAGTTGTTCTTCAGGTGTGATCTTTACAGAACCCTTTGCTTTTTCAGTTTAACAAATGGTTTCTAATATTTTTCACGAAGATTATCTTGATGTTTTCAGGACAGCAAACCTTGCCTTTATGACACACTTCCATTTTGCAAAGTGCTCAGAAGATGCTGAATTTGGGTATGTCAGAGGTTGATTCTCTCTTTGGTTGTATGATCTCCAGGGAGTTGAGATTGATTATACAATGTGCCGTGTGAGATTGATATGCAATGATTGAGGGAAAAACAAGCCGCCTTTGAGCAGCTGAGGTGGATCTTGGCGCTTTGCAAATATTAACATAATAATAATAATTTAGTTGTTTCCTGTTTGTTTATTGCATAAAAGTACACTATGTTGTTCATCTTTTACAAAATGGCAGTTTGGAATCTGACAAGACAAACCAATGGTTGATATTAAGAGCATTGGTCTGTGTAAAGTGTATGATTAAATGCATCAACCAAGCCAGTGAGCCTGACCATCCCGTCCCATTAGTCATTTCTCAAGACAAGCATGGGATGTTGAAGACCTATTCTAACAAATAGCTTACGAGGGTTCACGTTTCATTGTTTGAGTCAAGAAAACAGGGTGGTCACGAGTGAGTGAGTTAAATTTTATGCCGCACTCAGCAATATTCCAGCTATATGGCAGTGGTCTGTAAATAATCGAGTCTGAACCAGACAATCCAGTGATCAACATCATGAGCATCGATCTACGCAACTGTGATATGACTACACGTGTCAACCAAGTCAGCGAACCTGACCACCTGATCCTGTTAGTCGGCTGTTGATGTGTTAAACAGAGGTCAAGGATTTTGTTATAGAGCCAGGTGTTCTTGACCTGGTTTTCAATATACAGTCATCCCTCATAATAACGCTCTTCGCGATACCACGGATTCAGTTAAACCGCGGGGTAATCCGTGGCTCCGATAAAAAAAGTTGCCCAGTGATCACACATATTCACGTCATCGAAAATAGCACATCAACAAATCCATTCTTGAGCTCTGGTTAATCACATTGTAAACTAGTGAAATTCAGCGTGGATTGCAATTAACAGTGTTTATCGTACATATCCATGGTTTTTCAGATGCTTAAAACATGCAGGGTTTTTTCAGTAATAATAGATGAACAGCGAAACATCGTAATAACTTAATCATAAAGACATGTCGATCATCAGCCAAGTACTTACAACCATTGCTATGATGCAACACACCGCGTAATTGCGCGGGTGAACACCGCCATCCGAGAATGTATGATGTCAGAAAACACATTTTATTTGATTGATGTACTAGGCCGTTGTCACATAGCTGGAGTACTGCTGATTACAGCCAGTCATTAGAGGATCATTGATAAATTATTTAACCTTGATGTATGGGAGTAGGGGTCCAGTGGAGGCCTATAGTGGGTTGTTTGTGTTGGAATGTATTCATCCTCGATAACCTCCAGGGTATATGTTCAGATAAATCTCCACTAGTACCCTGGATATCTGCAGCTCGATAATAGTATTACCTCCCTTTGCTGGCTCCGCCTTCTCACAGTAGCCAATCAGATAAGCCGTTACAACCGAGCTTGCCAGTTTCAACAAAGATTACAGCCACAAAGGTTTGCTCACTGTGTGATTAAGATATAGGGGAAAAAATCATACAGACAATTTGAAGGGTCTGAAACCATCAAAAAAGAACTCCTACCTCTTTCAGTTGTGTTGCCAAGTTTCATCGGTAAGATAAAAGAAGTGGAAGTGAGTTATGAAAGAAGCCTTGTGATTGGTACGCTCAACATCCCAGTGTAGACACTTGATTGGATAAAAAGCCAGCAAGGGAGGTAATACAATTATCAGGTCGAGCCGTAGAGGCATCCATTACTAGTGGAGATTTATCTGAAAATATACCCTGGAGATTATCGAGGATGGAATGCATTGCAGTCATGTAGTAACTGCTTGTGTTGTGTTTGGTGTCAATGACTAGAAATGATATTAACAACGGGTTCTACCTGTAAAATGTTATATTTGGGATTACCCTCTCTCAGTAAACGTATGTTATGTTTGCCACTTACTAAATGGCATTGTGTATTCATAGGTTCTACCTGGCCTCCATTGAAGCAGCTCTGCAGCACATCAAAAGTGGGAAGGTGAAGGACGAGGTCTTCAGCAGGGACATGATCAAGGTAACAGTCACTCTACCTGGTACCCACTTATTGCTCAGTGAACAGGAACATTAAAGTAGCAGTGGTTGCCCTACCTGGTACCCACTTGTTGCTTTGTGAACAGGAGCATCAAAGTAGCACTGGTCCTCCTATCTGGTACCTACTTATTGCTTGACAAAGAGGGGCGGTGGGGTAGCCTAGTGGTTAAAGCGTTGGCTCGTCACGCCGAAGACCCGGGTTCGAATTGTACATGGGTACAATCTGTGAAGCCCATTTCTGGTGTCCTCCGCCGTGATGTTGCTGGAATTTTGCTAAAAGCGGCGTAAAAACAAACTCACTCACTCACTCACTTGACAAAGAGGAACATGATGAAGGTAGCAGAATTTGTAGTTGCCATACCATCTAAGGCCTAGATTTTCGAAGCCCTCTTAGCGCTAAGATAGTCAGTGCCCTACATTAACATTAACTTATGACTATCTTAGCGCTAAGAAATCTTCGAAAATCTAGGCCCAGGTACAAACAGATTACTGGGTACAAGATACTAATAAGTCTTATTTAAGTAGCTTATGCCCTGTGGATAAGAAATTATATGCATGTCAGCAATTATTCATCAAGAAGTCGCCAAATGACTGTTCATGTTACACTGCTATACTGAGTCTAACAAAACCTTGTGGAAGGTCGCATCAGGTAACCTTTGCAATTGACCAATCAGAACACAGCTAACCAAATCGTGAAAGTGGACATTTGCACATACCTTTTGAACTTTTACCTCGAAAAAGTTTGTACCCGAACGATTCTGAATGCTATTATGCGGATTTTCATTTGTTGGGAGATCAGTGTTGGCGACCAGGGACGAGAAAATACACTTTGTAAGTCCCGCCGAACCCTAAATAGTAGCCGTTGTCTGATTGGTTAAATCATTTCGTCCGTCTTGCCTTTGATTGGACGGTCATAGGTCGCTGAAAGGTTATGTGATGGGACCTTCCACAAGGTTTTGTTATACTCAGTATAGCAGTGTAACGAATGTTTTGACTTAAAATGTCAGTAAAATTCATCAACTTTAGTATGAGTTTTAGCTGTAGCCATAAGAACATATTAAATACTTGGTCATGTGAGTAAAATGCATTTCCAACAGGACCACAACTGGCAAGGAGTGAACGGTGTGATGGATGATGGCCTACAGCGACAGTCCAGTGGCCCTAACCTGCCAGTTGTTGATGAGTTCTTCAAGGTGAGATCTCAGCTCTCAATCCATCTTTGATCCCATGTGTATTTTCATGTATTGTATCTCCACATCACATACACCCTGGGTCAAATCAAGTTCTTAGCTGTATATTTCAGAAATCTTTTCAGTAACATAGCTCAAATACCCTGCTCATGAACTTGAAATCAGCAGCACATTAAAATTTCCTCTTCTGAACACAGGCTCAGCATAGGTGTTTCCAGTCCTCATCCAAGCCCTCCATACATTGTGTTATGATAAGTTAGGTCTAGAAAGACTTGTTTGCATAAGTCGTAAGAAGACGATAGAAGTGTTGATACCACAAGACGGTGCAGCTGTTTTGTTGACTGGTGCATTTACTGGTTGTTTTAATCAAAGAAGTGTCTATTGAAAGCATTGTGTCATTTGAGCCTTCCTGAAAACAAAGGCGAAAACCTTCTGACAAACTCTACCCGTGAAGATCCGAGCTAGCATTGGTCTTCAGCAGCCCATGTTTGTCGTAAGAGGTGACTAACGGGATCGGGTTGTCCCTGCATATAAGACAAAGCCTAGCCAAAACAATTTAGAACTGAATAGGTAAATAATCTTTTCTAGCGATGTTTAATTGCAAATTTGACGTCTTTGGTCTTCTCTTGTATGTTTGTTCACAGGAAGCGATATGATGTATTGTCAACAATTCGACTTGTTTTTACAAGGGGAGGACTCGCAAAACAAACACGACGTAGAACTGGCTGAGTTGTTGATCATCAAAACATTGAAGATGGGGAACTTTGTCGATTTACAGTATTTGAAAAATTGCTGAATGCAGTGGTAATCAACAAGCAAACAAACATATAAACAAATCTGACAAACAAGTTGCAATATCACTGGACAAAACCTGTCAGAAGATACCCACATGGGTAATTTGGAGCAGAAAACATCCCAACCTAGTTGTATCATTTTGCCCCTGATTTGTTGCAGCAAGTACAGAACGGGGATGAGGCTGCGGTGCAGGAGATGCTGGAGCAGCCGAAGAAGGCATCAGATGAGCTGGTCAGCAAACTGTGTCATCCGTTGTGTACCTGTGACAAGTGTGAGAAGATCCATGCACAGATCCGCTCCAACTCCAACCTTGTTACTGCCTATACCAGGGATACCCGAGGGTTACACAGGTATACAATCTGATTGATATATCCCAGATATATCTAGTTAGGTGTAATAGATATTCTATGAGATCATTGGGCAAAGGTACACTCTTGTCACATAGCATAGGTACAATGTCGGATCATGGCACACAGGTTGATGTTCCTGTATAAATTACAGGTACACTCCTATCTTGTTTAACAGGAACATGCTCAGATCATATATAACATACTTAGATCTTAGACACAGGTACAGTGTCAGACCATGCGGCACAGAGACACACTCACTTGATGTATGACAGGTACATACGTCCAGTTATGTATCACAGGTATATTCCAATCATGTATCACAGGTACATACTCAGATCTTGTGGCTTAGGTACACACTAAGATCATGGTGCTTAGGTACGCATACAGTTCATTGCAGGTACACACTCAGCCTAAAGATATAGCTGAGACAACATCAGTAAAGCATCAAATTTCTACTTGTGCCATGGAAATGAAAGATTTCACACAAACTAGGAATATGGGAGGCTGGTTGATTTACAATTCAGATGGCAACATGTATGATGAAGTAATAACTACTTTGTGTTCCAGCATTACACATTGCAGCTTCCTGTGGCCAGGCCCAGCTGATTGATGTGCTGGTGAAACACGGGGCGGTCGTGGATGCTGCCGATTACCTCGGTCTCACACCGCTACATCTGGCCTGTCAGAAGGGCTTCCAGAGTGCCATGGTAAGGGGTAGCCATATTGTATTCTGGTTTATGGGGTGGGGAGTGGTGTACCTCAGTCTCACACCGCTACATCTGACCTGTCAGAAGGGCTTCCAGAGTGCCATGGTAATGGGCAGCCATATTGTATTGTGGTTTATGGGTGGGGAGTGGGTACCTCAGTCTCACACCTCTACATCTGACCTGTCAGAAGGGCTTCCAGAGTGCCATGGTAAGGGGCAGCCATATTGTATTGTGGTTTATGGGGTGGGGAGCGGGTACCTCAGTCTCACACCGCTACATCTGACCTGTCAGAAGGGCTTCCAGAGTGCCATGGTAATGGGCAGCCATATTGTATTGTGGTTTATGGGGTGGGGAGCGGGTACCTCAGTCTCACACCACTACATCTGGCCTGTCAGAAAGGCTTCCAGAGTGCCATAGTAAGAGTCCGGCCATATTATATTCTGGTTTATGGGGTGGGGAGCGGGTTACCTCAGTCTCACACCGCTACATCTGGCCTGTCAGAATGGCTTCCAGAGTGCCATAGTAAGAGTCCGGCCATATTATATTCTGGTTTATGGGGTGGGGAGCGGTTACCTAGTCTCACGCCACTACATCTGGCCTGTCAGAATGGCTTCCAGAGTGCCATAGTAAGAGTCCGGCCATATTATATTCTGGTTTATGGGGTGGGGAGCGGTTACCTAGTCTCACGCCGCTATATCTGGCCTGTCAGAATGGCTTCCAGAGTGCCATAGTAAGAGTCCGGCCATATTATATTCTGGTTTATGGGGTGGGGAGCGGTTACCTAGTCTCACGCCGCTACATCTGGCCTGTCAGAATGGCTTCCAGAGTGCCAGCCTGTCAGAGTCCAGAGTGCCATAGTAAGAGTCCGGCCATATTATATTCTGGTTTATGGGGTGGGGAGCGGTTACCTAGTCTCACACCACTACATCTGGCCTGTCAGAATGGCTTCCAGAGTGCCATAGTAAGAGTCCAGCCATATTATATTCTGGTTTATGGGGTGGGGAGCGGTTACCTAGTCTCACGCCGCTATATCAGGCCTGTCAGAATGGCTTCCAGAGTGCCATGGTAAGGGTCAGCCATATTATATTCTTGTTTCGAGAGGGAGGTTTGGATGGGCAAGTGTTTTGTTAAACTGCTTCTTGTTGCTTCCAAACATTTGTTTTCACTTAGAAGAGTTATCAATTAAAGTGGAGGAAGCCTGTATTTTCTGTCCTTTCTGGAAGAAAATATTTCAACGAAAAGAATGATAGCATGTCTGTACATCTAGATGGAAAAGTGCTCTTATTATGCATAATTGTCTAATCCAGACTCCTTTGTTATCAGACCACTGTCTTCAAGTTGGGATGTTGTTGAGTGTGGTATTTAACAACAAACTAAATAACGATTGTTTGGCCCTGGTATAATGTTATTAGGGACCTTGTTGATAAGGGTGTCATTTCTTAAATATAGTACTGCCTGTGAAGATCCTGGTTTGAATTGGTCTTCAGCAACCATACTTGTCGTGAGAGGCGAATAATTGGATTAGGTGGTCAGGCTTGCCTACTTGGTTGACACATGTCATTGTATCCCAATTGTGAATATTGATGCTCATGTTGTTGATCACTGGATCGTCTGGTGCAGACTCGATTATTAACAGACAGCTGCCTTATAGTTGGAATATTGCTGAATGTGACATTAGACAACAAACAAACATTAATTTTGGAAATACTTTTCACACAAGGCCCATTTACCTAAGTTCCAAGGATTGTTCTGTTCCATTTGTTTAAGCAGAAGACCTTGAAGTTCTTGTTTTAATTATTTTTCCATGTTTTTCTCTTCAGCTGTTACTGCTTCACTTCCATGCCAGTATTACAACCGTGGACAGTGACGGCAACACACCTCTACATCTCTGTGCAGCAAACGGACATGACGATGTAAGTAGGGATTAAGCATAACAGATGTCATGCAGTTATGTACAGTGGAATCTGTTTATTATGGACTGGCCCGGGGCTGACTCACTTGTCCGGATTATAAAGCAGCCCGGATTAGTCATCGTTTGATTGTTACCATCAGTACGTTTCACTTCGTCACCAAGTGACAAATCTGCCAAAACTATGAAGTGAATGTGAAACAAGCAAGTAATCTGTCATTTATAGGACTTCAAACTGACTCGAAGTTAATCTTATCACATTAAATATTGTGTGTTTATATAATCGATTAACCATTGAGAACAGAAGTAACGGAGGTGTTTTTTTGCAGCGAACTGTTATTTTAGTCAGCTCCATACGGATTACAAATCCAGGATGGGACTTAACCAAATAAAGTACAGTGGACTCTGGCAATATCAGTCTACATCAACACAAGTTTCAGTCCCGGCAGAAATGCACTTAATTATCATTTAGAAACATCTGTAAACATCGGCATCTGTCTACTCAGGATATCGGCATTGTTTTTCAGTCCCAACGAACAAGTTGTTATGAAAACGAATCTGTAAAAAAACGGTACATGAAGGACGGCACAACCCTCTGATGGAATTAGGTCCAAATGATGTACCAACACAATTCGTGGTTACTCCCGGGATTATTCAGAAATGGGAAGTGACAATCAGTTTCTTGTTAATTAGTGAGTGGTACGTGTCACTTACATAGAGTAATTAACTCTTTCAACACCAGTCAACGAGAGGCATTTACTGCCATGACACGGAGTTCCCAGAGACTCTAAGGTCATAGATGAAGCGTATGATTATGAAGAAAATTATTATAAAAAGATTTCTTAAATAATATGTATGGTCGCCAATTTCCCGATATCAGTGGCTTTCCGCTTGGTAACATGACACAACAGCGGAAAATACCTCTGTTTTCGAAGCTTCGTATTAATAACATGTGAGGTGAATCGTTTGATGGCGGGTATCGTTCGAAAGCTCTGATCATCAACAATATCACTGTACCCTTGCCGAGAGTATTTTCACATTTGTAAGAAGCGATTTTATTGGATAAAGATTGGTATGTAATGACGCTTTTCACCACAGTCTGCTATAAGGGTCGTGATTGGTCAAAATCAGACACGTGACCTAAAGCAGCCAATCATATTACAGCAATGGATACCATCCTCGTAAACGAAAACTTTTAGATTTAGACGATAGTGGGCAGTTTGACTGTAAAAATGAGCAAGAGTTTACATGTTGTTGATTCGAGGGTATTTAAGGTAAAATCGTATGATGTAACAACACAATTCGGAAACATGACTTCAGTATCATGTGCAGAACTTGGAAAGTGCAGCTGAGGATATTGCACTCGACGCATTGGCACACAAAATACAAAGTAATATCAGAGACCTTTTCACAAAGTAAACAAAATATACCTTGTTTTTATTTGAATGAATAAACATGAATGTGCAATCAGACACTGCCTTGTTTCTTATTCAAACATGTTATTAATGCTAAAGTGACAGTACGACAGTGAACTTCCTGTGTGCACCGGTGTAATAAGCGAACTTGCAACCTGCCTAAACCGGCACTCTGTCAAAACCTGCATTTTTATTTGGTCCCGAGTGATGCCGGTATTGACAGAGTACACTGTACTAGAATCTGTACTTTACTAAGAATGTGTAATCCCAAATACAATATATGTTACATTTGACCACTTTCTAAATGGCATTGTGTAATCATACTGGATTTCCAAGCATTGTATTGTCGGGACTGTTATTTTAGTCTGTAATCCGTAATTGAGAGAGATGGGATTATAAAGTATGCTTTAATGATAAACTTAGAACAATTTTGCAGGGACTCAGAGAGTAGTCCAGATTATGAAGAAAACTGGTTTACACAGAGTCCGGATTTGACAGATTCCACTGTACTTCAGAAACTTTCCTTGGTTAGATTCAAGTGCCTGGGTACCTGGGGTGATGATAGGATAATGTGACTGTGATATGGGTTGCATACTCACTCGGGAGCTGAGCGTGATAATCGAGTGGACGTTGATCCATTGACCTGGGAATAATATAGCACCAAGACGTTCACATTGGGTTCAGTGTTAACAGTTGTTTGTGTTTTTTCTTCAGTGTGTGAAGGCTCTCATCTTCTTTGACAATAATGCTAGAAGAATCAGCATCAACGCCTTGAATGACATCGGAAACACACCCCTCCACCTCGCCTCCAAGTGGGGATATGGTATGTATACTAAGACAGTACGTTCCAGGCTTGAGGGCTTGTGTGCCATTGTACCCCAAGAGTATTGGACATTGCTCATTTTACTCATACACTTATGTTTCATGTCTTAATCAAGGGAGACTGCCTCCGTGGTGTAGTGATTAAAGCTTCTGCCCGGAGAGCGGAAGGTCGCGGGTTCGATCCCTGACCGCGTATACCAATAGACGTTAACATATGGTACTTGTTAGTCCCTGCCTGGCGCTCGGCATTAATGGGTACAACAAGGACTGGTCGGCCTGGAGTCAGTATAATGTGTCTGAGTGGGGTGTTCATGCTTCACTGCGGCATGGTATCTCAGTGAGCTAGCACTATAAAACCAGCTCCAGTCTGGGCTAGTACAAGCAGCCGCACATACACATACACACTCATGCACGTCGTCATATGAGCGAAATATTCTCAAGCACGACATTAAACCCAATTTCACCTCACCTTAATCATGGGAAGGGTGTCTGTATGGGGCTGATGCTGCATTTAGTAATCCAGTGAGTGAGTGAGTTTAGTTTTACGCCGCACTCAGCAATATTCCAGCTATATGGTGGCGGTCTGTAAATAATCGAAGTCTGTACCAAACAATCCAGTAATCAACAGCATGAACATTGATCTATGCACTTTGGATACAATGACATGTGTCAACCAAGTCAGCGAACCTGACCACCCGATCCCGTTAGTCACTGAGTGTTAGACGTGTCTTAAGACAAGCATGGGTTCTGAAGATCAATTCTAACCCGGATCTTGACGATTATTCATTATCCAACAATGTCAAGGTGATCGATCAAAGGTCTTCTTGTCTTCAGTTTTAAATTCCAGCATCCTAATGAGTGCCCTAATGTACAGTTGAAAACAAAACATTTTCATCCCTGTAATCAGGTCTTACTATATCATTGAGTGAGTGAGTTTAGTTTTACACCCCTTTTTGCATTATTCCAGCAGTATTACGGTGGGGGATACCAGAAATGGGCTTCACACATTCTACTCATGTTGGGATTCGAACCTGGGTCTACAGCATGATGAGTGAATGCTTTAACCTGGCTCCCCAACCAGCTGCAGGGTTAAAGTATTGGGTGGTGTGTCGATTTTGGTACATTGCATGTTATTGTATCTGTCTGAACAGATCTTAACATTCTATCTAACATTTTTACGCTTGATCCAGGCTCAATTTTAATCTCTGCTCCGTGTTAGCAGGTTGCTGTCATCAAGATGGAATATTGCTGACTGGCATAAAACAACATTCACTCACTTATTTCATTTCGACAATTTTTGAAATGTATGTCAATATGTATTACAGAGACCATCGTGAAGGTATTGCTGGAGAATAATGCGGACCCCAATATTCGGAACCGGAAGAAGCAGAGCCCCCTCAGCCTGACACAGAACGTTAATGTCCAGCGGCTGTTGACGCTGAGTGGCCGTGGTATCATGATACTTCCCACCAACAGTGAAGTGAGCATCATGTGTTATTTTGCTTCATTACTGACCTGGGGTGGTGGGGTAGCCTAGTGGTCAAAGCGTTTGCTCGTCACGCCAAAGACCCGGGTTCGAATCCCCACATGGGTACAATGTGTGAAGCCCATTTCTGGTGTTCCCCGCCGTGATGTTGCTGTAATATTGCTAAAGGCGGCGTAAAACCAAACTCAATCAGTCAGTCAGTCCGTCATTACTGACCTGTAGTGGATGTTGTGATGTGGTGATGATATGGTCTCAAAAATTGAATAGTGTTCTGGGAGATGAAAATACACCTGATTGGTTGTACATGTATTGTTCTCTATGGGGAGAGTAGCCTAGTGGTTCGCTTGTCACCGAAGACCTGGGTTTGATTCCCCACATCGATACAATGTGTGAAGCCCATTTCTGGTGTCCCCCGCAGTGTTATTGCTGGAATATTGCTACAACTTGTAGTACAAGCAGCGTAATGACAAACTCACTCACTCCTGCAGAGCTACAGATAACTTTTTGGGTCATTGAGTTATGTACTCGCTTGTGTTCATCTCAATTGGGTATCCTAATTTTCCTTTGAGTAACCAAATAAATTGCACTCACCTCACTCAAACTCAATTGGGTATTTAGCCATTTTCCATTAATTTTAAATATATAATAAAGTTTAAATGTTATTGTTTGTTACTTATGTTTGATCAATAATATGAGAAACGATAAGAAAGACTGCAAGTTGCCAAGTTCATGTCCTGAAAATAGAATCACTCAATACCTCAGTTATCTTTTCTATCCACCGGTATGCAAACTAAGAGTTGACACTTTTGTGTGTACACATGTAAGATCACATTTTTTAGTATTTACACAAACGCAAGCGTACTTGTATGCAATAGACTTAATAGGAATTGGGTTTTCACATAAATATTTGCGTAATTTACGCAGATACGCAGCTTATCTGTACCTCTGCTCCTAATTTATGTTTCTTTCTTTAGGGGTCCAGCCCTGAATTTCTTCAAGACATTTTCCTTTTTTTGTAGTCATTTACGAATACTTAGGGTAACAGCTCTTTTTCCATCTCTGACTTATAAGTACAGCCTTTCCCTTATGTTGATGCTCTGGAATATAAACAGCAAGGTGTTTGTAAGACATAAACCAGAAACAACGATACCTGTCACTTTGCATGACATTCTCCCAACGCTTTGTGTCAGTCAATGTTTTGTTGTTCCACCCACACAGCCAATCATGCCAGCTGTGAAGCCCGTTGTCCTCTCCCCCACATCTCCCACTAGCCCCACAGGAGTATCCCAGGTGCAGCGCATCAACAGCATCATCAGCACCACCAGCACCACCAGCTCTGCATCAGCCGACAGCACCTTCAAATTCGAAACCGCCACGCTTGATGACTCTCTCAATGAAAAAATCAAGAAGAAGCTGGATAAACTCTTCAGGGCTATCATTGATGGAGATACACAGTTGGTAAGATGCAGTTGCCATAGTTACACATCTTGGGCCCCTGTTTTTAAGCCATTTCGTATATTAGATATCGTGATACAAATAAATTTGTTTTGTGGGAAAATTCTTTTGGATTTTCAGTGTATCAATGTGTTTAATGGATAAATATTTTTCTCGCAATCATGGGTTGGGGAGGAAGAGGTTTTGCTGGAGGCATAGGACATTCTGTTTTAAAGTGGTACCGCCTTGGCCATATGTTTTCCAGTTGAATGTCAAGTTTGATAAATATGTGTTGAAACAACTTATAATTTGTTTTTTCAAATTTCTTCTCACCAGTTGGGTTCAGTTATCATGTAACATGTGACGTCATCTGTTTTATCTTGTGGTTCATGTCATTCCAGAGTGACGTCATGTCTCTTTTGCAAATTGTGACCATTGACATAGACAGTGCTATTGAAAATTGCAGATGGCTATTTATATTATTACAATGTCATTTTCAAATGAAATTTCTAACCAAAAGCTCGATAATGTCTGTTTTTTTGCTGATGTAATCTAAATAAATTGATAATCTTATCCTAAGGGACCGTTCATAATTTTTTTGGTGGGGGATTTTTTTATGGAGAAGCATGTACAATGTGAATGACCCCCCCTAAAATTTATGTACAAAATAAGTGCCCCCATGTCATATACAAAATCATGATGACCCCTTCCCATAATTTCTAAGCATAATTTTAAAATATTTTATGTACAAAATTTGACACCATCAGTACATGTGTACAAATTTGCTGCCCCCAGCTCCCCAGAACAAAATGGATGACCCCTTAAAATCATCATCACCACCCCACCCACACCCCCCCCACCACCCACCCCACCCCAAAGCCATAAGTTATGAACGGTCCCTAAAGCAAGACGTGTTTAAATTTGAAAGGAATACATTTTGTCTTCCAAACGGGAGTCAGACCAAGGAGATGGTATAAGTGTGAAAATATTATGTTTAGTTAAGCTTCTGATACAAGGGGGCGGTGGGGTAGCCTGGTGGTTAAAGTGTTCACGCCAAAGACCCGCCCTGATATTGCTGGATTGTTGCTAAAAGCGGCGTAAAACTAAACTCACTCACTGATACAGGGGGCAAGGTCTACCTTGGTTTTGAGGCTCTGATACAAGATGCCATCCAATGAGTTGTTTACTTGCTATGTCCGTCTTGCCTGTAGTGGATGATGTTTCAGGTGAAGTTCTACCTCGGTTTTGACTCCGCGACGGATGACCTGGATGACTTTGATGACAACAGTGATATAGTGGATGGTGCTGACCAGTCAGCTGAACCCTGCCATCCTCTGTGTCAGTGCTCCAAATGTCGCAACCATTTCAAAGTAAGCAACAGATTTGGTAGTGGAAGATGTAAATATGGGAAGTTTATGCCACACTTGAATCCCCCACTTTTATTCCTACCATTGTCAGTTCCACATAGTTTACACTTGTAATCTTTCCTTGTATTCTTTCCCTCTACCCTCTACTCCACCTCTTTGTACTTCTCCTTCCTTTGTCCCACCTCTTTGTGTTCCCCTCTTGTATCCCTTCTTGAGTCCCATCCTTGTACCTTCCTTGTGTCCCACCCTTCCTTGTGTCCCTCCCCTGTGTCTTGTGTCCCCTTTGTACCCTTCCTTGTGTCCCACCCTTGTGTCCCACCCTTGTGTCCCACCCTTGTGTCCCCTCTTGTACCCCTTCCCTGTGTCCCACCCTTGTACCTCTCCTCTTGTACCTTCTTTCTTGTGTCCCACCCTTGTGTTCCCTTTGTGTCCCACCCTTGTGTAATTGTACCCTTCCTTGTGTCCCACCCTTTGTGCCCCCTCTTTACCCCTTCTTGCACCTTTGTGTCCCCCTCTTGTACCTTCATCCTTGTGTCCCACCCCCTCTTGTACCCCTTCCTTCTTGTACCTTGTTCCCGTCCTTGTGTCCCTCCACCTCTTCCTTGTGTACCACCCTTGTGTCCCCTCTTGTACCACCCCTTCTTCCTTGTGTCCCATCCCTTCCCTCTTGTCCTGTCCTTCCTTGTGTCCCACCCTTGTGTCCCCTCTTGTACCCTTCCTTGTGTGTCCCACCCTTGTGTCCCTCTTGTGTAATCCTCTGTCCTTCCTTGTGTCCCACCCTTGTGTCCCCTCTTGTACCCTTCCTTGTGTCCCACCCTTGTGTCCCCTCTTGTACCCTTCCTTGTGTCCCACCCTTGTGTCCCCTCTTGTACCCTTCCTTGTGTCCCACCCTTGTGTCCCACCCCCTTGTGTCCCCCCTTGTGTCCCCTCTTGTACCCTTCCTTGTGTCCCACCCTTGTGTCCCCTCTTGTACCCTTCCTTGTGTCCCACCCTTGTGTCCCCTCTTGTACCCTTCCTTGTGTCCCACCCTTGTGTCCCCTCTTGTACCCTTCCTTGTGTCCCACCCTTGTTCCCTCTCTTACTCCCTTCCTTGTGTCCCACCCTTGTGCCCCCCTTGTGTCCCCTTCCTTGTGTCCCACCCTTGTGTGTCTTGTACCCTTCCTTGTGTCCCACCCTTGTGTCCCCTCTTGTACCCTTCCTTGTGTACCACCCTTGTGTCCCCTCTTGTACCCCTTCCTTGTGTCCCATCCCCTGTCCCTTGTACCCTTCCTTGTGTCCCACCCTTTGTATCCCTCTTGTACCCTTCCTTGTGTGTCCCCACCCTTGTCCCCTCTTGTCCCCTCTTGGTCCCACCCTTGTGTCCCCTCTTGTACCCTTCCTTGTCCCACCCTTGTGTCCCCTCTTGTACCCTTCCTTGTGTGTCCCACCTTGTGTCCCCTCTTGTACCTTCCTTGTGTCTTCCTTGTGTCCCCTCTTGTACCCTTCCTTTTGTGCCACCCATGTATCCCTCTTGTACCCTTCCTTTTGTCCCACCCTTTTTGTCCCACCCCTTGTCCTTCCTTTTGTACCCTTGTACCCTTGTATCCACCCTTGTACTCCCTCATTTTGTCCCACCCTCGTATCCACCCTTGTACTCCCCATTTTGTCCCACCCATGTTCTTTTCCCTTACAGCACATGCTTGGTATTTAAGGAATTCCTGGATACAACAGATCCTCAGTTTCTATCATTTCCAGAAAGTCTTACTGTACCCTGTGGGTGCTCTACATTCAACATCAGGGTTTTACACAGACTTTTAAAAATAGGAGTCATGGTGACTCACAATATTTATTTTGGGGAGTCATTTCCAATATTTGGGAGTCATAAAAAATTTAATATTTCTTTATGTTAATCATTCTCAGTATGTAACTGTGTATGTCACACCACCAAATTAAACTACAGCATTGTTCAATTCAAACAGCAGTATTGGACTGTGGAACAATCTGACAGCTCTGTAAAAGTCAAACTATCATCAAACAATATCTTTTTTTGCTTATCAACTCAATTTTATTGAACTGAATTGTGAGGGCCACCCATAAAACTTGCGTCAAGCTTGGCTCGTATGATAATATTTTGAGAGTTGTTTACAAAATTGGTCCGTCAAATACGCAGGAATCATGCGTCATGTAAAACCCTGTATCATGTCATCATCCATTAGTTGAAAAAGATGTAAATAAGAATAGCAGTTATTTACTTCAGCCAAAACAGAAACACATGTCGTCCTATCCAACCTGACCTCTGTAAAATACTTTGGTTCCAGACTAGCCCTCGGTCTTCCAGCGAGCTGTCTGTGAACACAGTGTCAAGCAATGGCTACTCCCCTCTCCACATGGCCGTTCTGCACCAGCAACCTGACCTGGTCAACCTCTTCCTTGAGAGAGGGGCAGTGGTCAACGTACACAACCAGAAGCTCGTCACATCCGTCCACCTGGCAATCTGTGTACAGAACGAGAAGGTGACAGCAAGTCTTAGATAAGCATAACAAATACAAAGACCGGAACTCATATATATCCACTTATTTTTAGTTTTGTCAGATGAAAGGAAAAGAAGTAACCCACAAGCATCATGACAAACAAGAGAGAGGGTGTTATCCTTGACAGGTTCTTGTCTTCAAACTGACACATGGTGTCATCTTTGGTACAGGGAGCAAATCTGTATTTTCAGCAGTCTCTTTGCCAATTTTCAGTTTTACATTTGCGAAAGAAAACAGTCTAGCTTGACCTTCAAGCTGTCAAAAATAATCCCCAAGACAATAGGGCTGTTGTTGTGCATGCATATTCATTACATGTGGGAGCTAAGGTATAACATGTAGGATTTTACCATTGACCCTTGTAATGACGAGCATTTCTTTTATCAATATGGACGTTGCTATTTATTAAGCTTACAAAATAGTCTTGGTTCTCAGGCAGCACAGCCAGTGAGTGAAATAGTTTCCAAATTCTGCAAGCCAGTTGGGCTAGTTATGCCTGAAAGTTACAAGCCCCCAAAATGATTCACTAGCCCGAAATTTGAATGTGGACACAGGTTTTATCATTAAGCTGTTAATATGATGAACATTGTTATCAGGCCATAATCTTGCATGATATAAAAGTGTGTTATAACTTAACAAGTCAGCAAGAGTGATATATTGACCCCATGAAAATTCACTATCCAGTCGGGCCAGTGACTGTGGAGATTTACTGGCCTGACTGGATTTTTACTAGCCACGGGCTGGCGTGCTGGTGGCTATTTCGCACACTGAGCACAGCATCATAAAAAAAAATCGGCTGTACTTTTAGTTTCTTTGTCTTCAGACAAAAAATCAATAAATATCTGCATCTGAAAAACACCACCCTGGCAGTGATATGATGCAATAATGATTAAAGATAATAGGCACATTATTGTTTATTATAGTTTCTATGTTTGGCTTGAAAGGATTATCTCCCCTTGTGTTCTCAGATCCTTAAGCAATTGCTGGATGCAGGAGGTTCAGTGGAGGTACAGGACATCAACGGGGACACTCCACTTCACATCAGCTGTGCTAAAGGCTTCGCTGCCGGTGTTAATATGCTGCTCCAGGTACAGCTCACAGCTCTTGTCGTTGTGCTCACAGCTCTTGTCTTTGTGCTCACAGCTCATGTCTTTTGTGCTCACAGCTCATGTCTTTGTGCTCACAGCTCATGTCTTTGTGCTCACAGCTCATGTCTTTGTGCTCACAGCTCATGTCAGACTGCCGCCATTAAGGTGGAATAGTGCTGAGTGCTGCCTTAAACAACCAACCAACCATATCCTTTCTGCTCACAGCTCATGTCTTTGTGCTCAGGGGGCGGTAGGGTGGCCTAGTGGTTAAAGCGTTCACTTGTCACGCCAAAGACCCAGGTTCAATTCCCCACATGGATACAATGTGTAAAACCCATTTCTGGTGTTACCCACCGTGATATTGCTGGAACATTGCTAAAAGGGGTGTTAAACTAAACTGACTCACTCACTTTGTGCTCACATCTCCTGCTTTCAGTCTCACTCATAAGTTTGGGTCCTACGTTCATGTCCATGGGCTCACAGTTAATGCTCATGATATCAATCACAGGTTCATCTGGTCAAGAACTAATTATTTACATGCTGCCATCATGTAACTGAGTATAGTATTAACTGAAATGTCAAAACAAATGTCAAAATGTAGGTCACCAGAAAAGCAACTGAATAAAGTTTATGGTTGCTGTTTTAGCTTATCTGACTGAAAGTCAAGCCCTCTGCTCAGGAAGTATGCGTTTGTCATTGTGCTGTGTAATGAAAATGCTGTGAGGCTATCTGTTTAGTGGAGATTCGATTTTAATTGTACTTATCCTGCCTTGTCTTGTGGGGCGGTGGGGTAGCCTAGAGGTTAAAGCATCTGCTCGTCATGCCGAAGACCCAGGTTAGATCGGTACAATGTATGAAGCCCATTTCTTGTGTCCCCACCATTACATTGCTGGAATATTGCTTAAAGCAGCATAAAACCAAACTCACTCACTCACTCACTCCTTTATTGTATTTGACCTTGTCTGCTAACATTATTGCAAGAGACCTGTGACCCTTCAAAAAGAGATCTCCATTCTTACAATGGATGTACTTTAAAAGATTGTCAGTAGCCTTTTATACAGTTTCTATGCTGTTAATTATCAATTTAAGAAAATTCAAGGTTGTTCAAGGAGTCATGTTTGTTGTCGAACTTCAAAGCTGGAGACAAGAGTTGTAAATGAAATCCCGATGCCCAAGCATCTCAGTTGAGCTTTGACATGATTTTAAGCTTGAAGCATTATACGATTGTTCCTCCAAATCGGCAGAGCAACTTTATCTTGTCACTCTGTATATGAATGTGGGACAATGGCGTAGCCTTGTGGTTAAAGCAACGCTAGTCTTGCTCGATTTGGCATATGGGTTTCCTGTTTTGGGTGTGCCTCGGCATGATATAGCTGCAATATTGCTGAAAGTGATGCTAAACCATAGTAACTGCATATGCACAATTTCTGAAGCTACAAAATTGAACTGAGATGGTTATCATGCAGATTAACAGGATTCTTTTTTTATTACACTCAATCCTATAAATGCTGTCATTCCAGCATCGAGCCAGTGTAATGACCAAGAATAGGAGAGGAACCACCCCTCTACATTTAGCGACAGAACGAAACCATCCAGGCATAGTACAGATCCTCATCAACCATGGTGCTGATGTGAGAGTGAAGAATCTACAGGGTCTGATACCAGCAGATCTCACACAGGTAGGCTGGCTTGGTTTGTGTAGGTTCTTACTTCCAGACATTCCTGAGGTCTTTACCCAGGAGCAAGACATCAATCTTTAAGGTGCATGGGACATTAGAGATTGATGGTAGCCTGTGTTCTGCTTTTGTGTGTTCAACAGCTATTAGGGGAGGTGGGGTAGCCTACTGGTTAAAGCGTTCACTTGTCACGCTCAAGGCCCGGGTTCGATTCCCCACATGGGTACTATGTGTGAAACCCATTTCTGGTGTCACCCACCATGATATTGCTGGAATATTGATAAAAAAGGCATAAAACCCAACTCACTCACTCACTCAACAGCTGTTAGTCTATGTATGTCAGGTTATGTTAATTTGAGATAAATATCATGTTTGATTTCTGTTGTGGTTTCAATCAGAGTACAAAGGGATTTCATCTGATGAATGTAAGAGTGTTTCTGTTTCTATGTACAGCAATGTCTTGTATAAATATTAGTTCACCAGTGACCCTTGAAGATCCGGGTTAGAATTAATTTTCAGCAGCCTTGCTGACTTGGCTGACACATGTCATCGTATCCCAATTGCATAGATCAATGCTCATGATGTTGATCACTGGATTGTCTGGTACAGACTAGATTATTTACAGACAGACACGATATGGCTCGACTATTGCTGAGTGTGACATTAAACAACATACAAAGTTCTCCGGTGTGTGGAATGAACTGTATGAAGACTTTGTTTATAAAGATGCCATTGCACCAGTGACTGCAACTTTGTCAATAGTTGTCTGACTCATACGCAGGGCAGCAGGGTAGCCGTGTGGTTAAAGTGTTTGCTTGTCACGCCGAAGACCTGGGTTCGATTCCCCTTATAGGTAGTATGTGTGAAGCCCATTTCTGGTGTGTCCCGCAGTGATATTGCTGGGATATTGGGTAAAACCATACTCACTCATACACAATTTACGTCAGTTGCCACAAAAAGCGATAATCAAATCCATTACCGTGCTTTTCATCATTGACATCCTTGTTTTTTTTGGTGGGGTTAAATCGTTTGATCGCCATGCTGAAGACTACAAACAAATATTAACTACTTGCTTTTAATTCACATTCAACAATATTTTGATAAGATGTGGGCTCATTCTTAAGAGAACAGTTCAGAAATTAGATGTGTGATAAAATACCATTTAGAAGAGTCATTTCAACTGGTTGTTGATTTCCTTCTCCTGGCATGATAAATTCAGTGCGGTAATAAGATTGGTGGAGATGGTGACATCAGTTTCAACCAGTGTTTTGGTGTGACTTATGGGTCCAGGGTGGTTTTCATTATTGATATATTACGCTTGAAGTAAGCTTGAACGAATGCCTGAATTAAACTGTAATAATCTGATTTATTTGAGTGGCATTCTAGAGGTTGGTGGTATAGGGATGACAGGACTTTATGGATGATCAACTTCTTTATTTTTGACAATGGCGACGTTTCGGTATAGATTCTCATACCATTTTCAAGCATATGGGGGAATGAAGGGGTACACCAGTTTATCTACAAGATAAGATAAACAGATAACAATAAAAAGGGTGGAAAAACAAAATAATGAAGTTGATCATCCATAAAGTCCTGTCATCCCTGTAAGACTCTGCTGGAAGCTCTTTTCACATTTGTTACAGTTTCCTTATAATAGTATCCTATACAATTATCTTTTATCTTTCAGAACTCAGCTGTGAAGCGTCTCCTGGAGACTCAGAGGCCTCCATCGCAGGCAGATCCCAGAAGGTCTGGTAATGCAGGTGCTGCTTCATGTCGGGATACAGGTAAGTCACAGTCAGATTCCAGAAGGTCTGGTAATGCAGGTGCTGCTTCATGTCAGGATACAGGTGAGTCACAGGCAGATCCCAGCAGGTCTGGTAATGCAGGTGCTGCTTCATGTCAGGTTCGGGTAAGTCACAGTCAGATCCCAGCAGGTCCAGTAATGCAGGTGCTGCTTCATGTAGGGATACAGATAAGTCAGTCAGATCTCAGCAGGTCTGGTAATGCAGGTGCTGCTTCATCATGTCAGGTCCAGGTAAGTCACAGTCAGATCCCAGCAGGTCTGGTAATGCAGGTGCTGCTTCATGTCAGGGTCCAGGTAAGTCACAGTCAGATCCCAGCAGGTCTGGTAATGCAGGTGCTGCTCCATCATGTCAGGTTCTGGGTAAGTCACAGTCAGATCCCAGCAGGTCCAGTAATGCAGGTGCTGCTTCATCATGTCAGGGTCCAGGTAAGTCACAGTCAGATCCCAGCAGGTCTGGTAATGCAGGTGCTGCTTCATCATGTCAGGTTCCGGGTAAGTCACAGTCAGATCCCAGCAGGTCTGGTAATGCAGGTGCTGCTTCATCATGTCAGGGTTCCGGGTAAGTCACAGTCAGATCCCAGCAGGTCTGGTAATGCAGGTGCTGCTTCATCATGTCAGGGTCCAGGTAAGTCACAGTCAGATCCCAAGCAGGTCCAGTAATGCAGGTGCTGCTTCATGTCAGGGTCTAGGTAAATCACAGTCAGATCCCAGCAGGTCTGGTAATGCAGGTGCTGCTTCATCATGTCAGGTTCAGGTAAGTCACAGTCAGATCCCAGCAGGTCTGGTAATGCAGGTGCTGCTTCATCATGTCAGGGTCCAGGTAAGTCACAGATCACAGTCAGATCCCAGCAGGTCTGGTAATGCAGGTGCTGCTTCATGTCAGGGTCCAGGTAAATCACAGGCAGATCCCAGCAGGTCTGGTAATGCAGGTGCTGCTTCATGTAAGGTCCAGGTCAGTCACAGTCAGATCCCAGCAGCTCTGGTAATGCAGGTGCTGCTTCATGTCAGGGTCCAGGTCAGTCACAGTCAGATCCCAGCAGGTCTGGTAATGCAGGTGCTGCTTCATGTCAGGTCCAGGTCAGTCACAGTCAGATCCCAACAGGTCTGGTAATACAGATGCTGCTTCATGTAAGGTCCAGGTAAGTCACAGGCAGATCCCAGCAGGTCTGGTAATGCAGGTGCTGCTTCATGTCGGGATACAGGTAAGTCACAGTCAGATCCCAACAGGTCTGGTTATACAGGTGCTGCTTCATGTCAGGTCCAGGTAAGTCACAGTCAGATCCCAGAAGGTCTGGTAATGCAGGTGCTGCTTCATGTCAGGTCCAGGTAGTCACAGTCAGATCTCAGCAGGTCTGGTAATGCAGGTGCTGCTTCATGCCTTTTAGAAAGTGGTCAGAAACTGCTATCAGATCTAACACTTATTACATGAGAAAGCATGTAAAAGTCTAGTCAGGCTCTGTTGATTTCACATGTTTGATTTGTGTAATATGGTGAAACATATAGTTTTAGCTTCATATCATTCAAACAGCTATCATGACAAAACTAAGGTGGTAGATAACTTCTTTGAGAGGCATTTAGAAGTTGGAGCAGCAATAAAGATATCCATATATTGTCATCCTTTCTTAAGATGGCAGATATTAGATGGGAGATACAATATTCTGGTTGAAATTTGGATTTGTGTAAATCTCCAGTTGATCTAATGTTTCCTGTGAAGTATTGATCAAGTTGGTAATTTGTAATGTGTACAGATGTATGGATGTGTTTTCATGTAATTTCATTTCCATACCAGACAAACGTCACGTTGGCATCCAAGACCTCTTTGCAGCATTTGAGGAGTCAGACCTTCACACCTTGAAGAATCTTACATCAGCAATCCGGTCGTTTGACGGGAGTCACAGCTTGAGGAGGACCAGCACCCGTGACCTCAGTGCACCTCGGCTAGATGCAACTCTAGCCCGGAATCTATCCATCCGAAGTTTTGACCACAGTCAACTCCGTCACACGGACTCGGTGGACAAGGCTGAGCCCCTGTACATATATAAGCTGGCCATGCAGGGTCAGCAGGACAGGGGGATGCTGGCAGAAAATGTTGCAGAGTGGGAGGTGATAACCTCCGACAGTGACTCCGATGATGATTTGTTCAGAAGTACCAGACCTGTTAAGGCGACTCCAAAAGTGTTGTCGGAATCAGAGCTGAAGGATCTCATTGATGTTGAACTGTGATAACATTATGATAAATTCCAACCCAACAACATCAGATTGTCTGATATGATCTCTCAAAGTGTACATACCTAAGAATACTTCCACAGAGAATTGTGTCAGTGAAACTTGAGCAACATTGGCTACTCAATGTAATAGGGCCTGTAAGACTCCTGATGCGCTACTTCCAGTATTAAGCTGTTTCCTGGCTCCCTTTGTGTGAGATGGGGCCCAGTTTATTTCCGGTGACAAGCATATACTCAAGAACCAGTTCTGGTTCTAAATTGCACAACCACCAAATATGAATATACTAGACAGGACTATATGTACAACCATGCTTGGCTGTCACAGCTGTTGACAGTTGTAATAGTTGTCTTATTTGGGGATGGTGAGGTCAGACATTTGTTATTCCTGCAAGGATTATAGGTTCCTTACCGTCAACTGACACCCATGAGACCATTTGAAAAGGTATGAAACATTGTTTGTCAGAGAAGTACTAAGGTCTAAGTGCCATGACCTACTTATGGGCCCTATCGAAGGATGCTGGATTCCGGAGCCATTGAGATGTCAGCTTTCTAAGATGTTTCGACATGTTTCGTGAAGGTTTAATTCCTCCTTGGATGCTCATGTGAACTGGTCATGTATTTGCTTTGTTTGTTTGTCGTTAAACTACCCACTCAGCAATATTCCAGCTATATGATAGCAGTATGTTAATGAAGTCAGGACAAGACAATCCAGTGCCAAATGAGAATATATTGCGTAATCGGTACAAGTTGAGCACTGCGATACTTGTGATATCGTGGCAAGTTGTTGTTCTTTGTATCAACACATGGGGTTAGAGTATCGTGAGAATGTTATCAGTCCTTTGAATGAAGCATTTACTCGAATGTGACTCCAGAGCTTTAGCCTGAACTTTCCATCCTAGTGCTGAACTTCCTCAGTTGGGTTCTGGGCTGTATTCTTCGCCATCCACAGGGGCTTGTAACATTAAAAACTGCCATCAAGGTATGTACTGTATCTGACTGGTTCTTAACACTATATAAAAGGAATGGGATGTCAACACACCAAGTTCGTTTCAGGGTGAATTCAACAATGCTCATTGTATCTGTCCCATTTAAAGTATGCACACATTTCAAGCCTATAGATTTACCTACAAAATAAGACATAGAGCACAAAAATCAAAGCAGTCCTTTGGGAGCTAGGGTCTTCGGAAGCCAGACAAATCGTGATTTCTCGATTCCGAACCAAAATCCCTGCTCAGAATTTGTAGCGGTAACTCACCAATTTTCATGTTTATTTCACAGTATATACAAACGACATGCATCAAAACATGTTGAACTGATGGCACCTGTCAGCGCGCTAGTCGCCATTCTTTCGTAGACACTTACACCTCACTGTCATGACGAGTTTACATACATTTATTCATCGCAAACAGAATTGTGTCGTGCCCCTTCGCCATTGACGACCTTGGCCCTAATTTGCCCAAGGGAGCAAGGGCAAGAGAGCTCATTGGCTATTAGTAAAATATGTCCCATCAGATTGCTGACTCTTTTCAGAGCGGGGCAGGTTAAGGCCAAGGTCGTCAATGGCGAACGGGCACGACACAACTCTGTTTGCAATGAATAAATGTACGTAACTCATCATGACAGTGAGGTGTAAGTGTCTCTGAAATCGATCACTGGATTATCTGGTCCAGACTTGATTATTTAGAGGCTGCCACTATATGGTAGGACTATTGCTGAGTGTGACGTTAAACAATGAAGAAAGAAACAAACACACTAAAGTGACAAGTCATGACCTATGAATATATTCAAAAAGAAAGCAGTTTAGATAACCCTTAATGGTATTTGCTTTAATTTATCCCTGTGTCCATATATTAAAATATCTAACATATGAACTTATAATTAAGAACGGTGTAATATGTTTGAGGGATCTTTAACATGACATATATTATGAAAAATATATTGTAATGTTGAGGGTGTCGATGTTCAATTGTACCAGGAATTCCTGTATTTAAGCCCCAGGTTTTATCATGAAAAATCACCAATTTGGTAATCAAATTATGTAACCATAATTAACCCCAGGGCCTTAATTTAGGAACTGCACATACTGAATGAAAATATAGGCACATTATAATTTTTCTAATGACCTTGAATGTTTAATTTAGTTTAAAGAAGACCTGAATTAGAAACAAGAATGCTAAGATTTCAAGCAGTCAAAATGTTTCTGTTTTTTAGTCACAGGAAACTTATACGATATATTTCAATTACATGTAGTCAGTGTATGAAATAAGGCCAATGCGACTGCTTTCGAGACAGGCTAGATTTCTGATGGATGGTCTAAATTTACAGCTAGCCAGACCGATGGTCTGGTGAAAGTTTTCAGATGTTCCATACATCTGAGTAAATTCACCATATCTTGGTGTCTGGTCTGGTTAAATCCATTTTGGGCTGGTAACATTTTGAAGTTACCAGCCCTGATGTCTGGCTGGGTTTTTGGCTTATTTCATACAGTGATGATGGAATTCAAGAACAATTCAACTGCACTCGTTTGCTTTATTAACATTCTCAAAAGTCAACCTTTACCACACTCAAGAGTTCCTGCATATGTCTGATTAAATATTCAAAGAAACTTGTGTTAATAAGATGCATTTAGTGGTCGATATCCGTGTCAGGTATCAGACCTTTCTCTTTACACCAGTGAGTCTTATACACATGGAATTCCCTGAACTATCAATGTTGTAAATATCAATGTTCGCCATGGGATCTGTCCAAGGATCATCACTCCCATCAATAACATGAAAAATAATAATTTCGGCTGATGGGCCGAAATACAGCAACAAATTCCGATTTTAGACCCATGGGCTTAATTTTGCATGGGAAATACCGGAAATCCTAGTATCATGGCACTCCAACCAAACTGCAGTAATACTTCATGACAAAGTTTCACTATATTCCACATTCCATCACAGCACCGAGTAAAAGCTGTCACTTCTCCATGGATACTATAGAAACAAATTACGTATAAAATACATAATAAAATATGAATGTGATAAGAGTGTATATTTAAATGTTGCATGTACCAAAAGAATGTGAATATATTGTGCAGCTAAATGGTTCATATGATGTGAGAAAGAAGCAATGACATTGTACATATGAATGATTGATGTCACAAAAGACAACATGAGCATACTGTACATTTAAATTTGTATAGAAGAACGTGAACAGAATGTGCACTTAAGGTATTCATGTTAGCAAATATAAACGTGAAAGCACTGTACATTTAAATGCAACAAAAGAATGTGAATGCATTGTGCAATTAAAAGGTTCATATGATGAAGGGATGTAATGAGATGTACATTTGAATGATTAAGTTAACGAAAGAATGTTTATAGACTGTAGAGTGTAATTTGCATGCTTCCAAATTATCCATTTAATAACTGACTGTCAAATGTGTAGCAAATACTTCTTTTGTTTCATTATATATTTTCTTTTACTAGAAAGTTCATTGCTTCTGAACCAAGTCTTTCAACTCGTGAACTGATAATACTACAGTTTTTCTTTTTGTCAGATTTACTATCTGAATTTGCATAAGTGTTGCTCCTGCCCATATAGTATGAAACCGTGTTAATCTGGAAGATGACTTCATGTATTTGCTATGCTCCTGCCCATATAGAATGAAACCCTGTTAGTCTGGACTGCTACATCATCTTTATTTTCCTCTTGTCCATGTTTTCTGATCGTGTTCTCTCACAGCGTTCCAGAGGGGCGGTGGGGTAGCCTAATGGTTAAAGCATCCGCTCGTCACGCTGAAGACCAGGGTTCGATTCCCCACATGGGTACAACGTGTGAAGCCCATTTCAGGTGTCCCCCCGCCGTGATATTGCTGGAATATTGCTAAAAGCGGCGTAAAACCAAACTCACTCACTCACACAGCGTTCCGGGGTGTGAAGCCCATTTCAGTTGTGACCCACCATGATATTACTGGAATGTTGCAAAAATGAGTGTAAGCCATGCTAACTGTTAAAGTATATTTCTTTTCTAAACTGCAAAATTGCCCTGAGAACGTTACCATGCAGATGAACAGGATTGTATATTTGGCATCAGCTCAAGAAATACAAAAAGGAAAGTTCCCATTTATCCTCCTGTTGATGTGCAGATATACATGTCAGTACAGATATTTAACTTCAGTTTAGTGTGGATATTTGAGGGACTCTTCAGCTGCAATTACCAGTCAGTGGACCAGGAAGTGTAAAGTGCCTTGTATTCCCCAGTATTGTTTATTTGTTATGTTCATATATTAACAGATTTGACAGTAATATACTAAGTATTGTGTTATAGTATTGTATATAACATGTACATTTTGCAACAGTATATAATTCATGTATGGTATGTTGACAACCCTACAATTAGGGCTGTGTATTGGCAAATAAACGGTCTATTCAGTGAAGCAGTAGGTGATGGTATGTTGACAACCCTACAACTAGGGCTGTGTATTGGCAAATAAACGGTCTATTCAGTGAAGCAGTAGGTGATGGTATGTTGACAACCCTACAACTAGGGCTGTGTATTGGCAAATAAACGGTCTATTCAGTGAAACAGTAGGTGATGGTATGTTGACAACCCTACAACTAGGGCTGTGTATTGGCAAATAAACGGTCTATTCAGTGAAGCAGTAGGTGAATCGATGGTATGTTGACAACCCTACAATTAGGGCTGTGTATTGGCAAATCCCAAACGGTCTATTCAGTGAAATTCGGTCACCAAAAATTGAGAATTTGAGAGTCCTTAAAGCTCATCAGATGCCAGCTTTTAGGATGATTCAGCTTCATTTTGCACTGACATATTAAATAGCTTTGGTTTTATAATTGACATTCAGAACTGCCCATTTCAGGTCATTTTCAAGATGCATAAATCAAGAATGCTAGTCTGAATGATTTGCTCACTCATAATGAGAATTTAGATGTTTTGAAACTGAGAAGTTGATAAGAAAAAGTGATGCTACAGCCCATTAGAGTTGTTATGGTATCAGAGTATAAGATCTGAATTTAAAGGTATTAAAGCCAAAAATATGTGATAGATTTGCCCACTGTATATTTACATAGTCCTGGTTTCAAAGGCTTTGAATAAGTCTCAATGAGATAGCCTCAATTACTTTGCAATGGGTGATCATGAAGTAGATTATTTGCCTGAGTAAATTGAATCTGTAAAGAATGCATTTTGATGCATATTTCTTGAGGGTTATTAAACTTGAACTTCAAGTTATGTATCTTCAAAATAAAGATTCATAGCAAATGAGTAAGTTGTTGGGTCACTATATTAAGTTGACAAGTTTGTGTTGGACATCCATCTGAAGTATACATGGCTTTAAGATGTCAAGTAGACTGGGTGGAGAATCCAGGATAGAGTTGGTCCCCAGCATGTTATGCTGCTGTAAGATGTCAAGTAGATGTCCATCTGAGAATCCAGGATATCCCCAACATATGCTGGCTGTAAGATGTCAAGTGGACTGGGTGGAGAATCCAGGATAGTGTTGGTCTCCCAACATATGCTGGCTGGGTGGAGTCCAGGATAGTGATGTCAACAATGCTGGCTGTAAGATGACTGGGTGGAGAATCCAGGATAGTGTTGGTCTCCAACATATGCTGGCTGTAAGATGTCAAGTGGACTGGGTGGAGAATCCAGGATAGTGTTGGTACCCAACATATGCTGGCTGTAAGATGTCAAGTGGACTGGGTGGAGAATCCAGGATAGTGTTGGTACCCAACATATGCTGGCTGTAAGATGTCAAGTGGACTGGGTGGAGAATCCAGGATAGTGTTGGTCTCCAACATATGCTGGCTGTAAGATGTCAAGTGGCCTGGGTGGAGAATCCAGGATAGTGTTGGTCTCAACATATGCTGGCTGTCAGACTGTGGAGAATCCAGGATAGTGTTGGTACCAGATGCTGGCTGTCAGGGACTGGGGAGAATCCAGGATAGTGTTGGTACCCAACATATGCTGGCTGTAAGATGTCAAGTGGACTGGGTGGAGAATCCAGGATAGTACCCAACTGGGTGGATGTCAAGTGGACTGGGTGGAGAATCCAGGATAGTGTTGGTACCCAACATATGCTTGCTGTAAGATGTCAAGTAGACTGGGTGGAGAATCCAGGATAGTGTTGGTACCCAACATATGCTGGCTGTAAGATGCCAAGTGGACTGGGTGGAGAATCCAGGATAGTGTTGGTCTCCAACATATGCTGGCTGTAAGATGTCAAGTGGACTGGGTGGAGAATCCTGGATAGAGTTGGCTCCCAAAGATGTGAAGTGGATTTCGTAGAAAACCAGAATAGAGTTAGTGGACAATTTTCTATACCAAAAGGACATGTGCAGTGTCAATTTCGATTTTAACTTTTGATTCTCTGCAAACATACATTTGATTTTCTTTCTCTTTTTTAAATTAGAAATATTTTCACTTCAACATTTGCGCGATATATAACTTGAAAACTACTGCATGGATTAATTTCTCGGAGAAAACTCAAAGTAATGTGTTGTTGAGACTCGAGAGATGTTGTAATGAGCCTGAAGGTGAGGAGGATCTTAATGGATTTGCGAAGGACACTGTTGAGAATGACAGAAAGAATGTTTCAAGCAAAGATTTTTCGTCACCTGACCAACAGATGGCAAACATATAAACGTCTTTACGTGTGTCAATTAGAATTGTGGAGCCTCACTTCGTCAAACGCATCTGGCTCACAGAGCGAAAATGTTTGAAACAACATGCGTCAACAATAATTTCATGTTGCAAACATGGGTTCTCATCCTCGATAACCTCCAGGGTATACGTTCCGATAAAATCTCCACTATACCCTGGATGCATCTACGGCTCGGCCTCATGATTTTATTACCTCCCTTGGCTGACTTTTTATCCAATCAGGTTTCTACGCTGGGAAGTTGAGCGTACAAATCACAACTCACTTTCGCTTCTTTTATCGATTGAACTTGGCAACATATTTGTTGCAGAGGTACTCTGTAAGAGGTAGAAAGAGTTCTGGCATATATTTCTAAGTTTCAGACCTGTCAATTTGTCTGTATGATTTCCCCCCCAATCTGAGTCCAAACCTTCGCGGCTGCGACCGCTATCTTTGTAGACACTGGCAAGCTCGGTTGTAACGGCGGCTTATTTGATTGGCTACTGTGAGAATGCGGAGCAAGCAAAGGGAGGTAATAAAATGATCGAGCCGAGCCATAGATGCATCCTGGGTACTAGTGGAGATTGTATCGGAACGTATACCCTGGAGATTATCGAGGATGATACGTTCCATGTACCTCAGGAAACGTGCGTAAAATTTCCCTATCTGGCGTTTTTTGTCCTTTATGATTAAATCTTGAATGCAGATTGATTAATCAGCGATAGACAGGCTACAAATTTGATTAAATGAAATGTATAAGCATAATGGTTAAAGCGTCCGCTCGTCATGCTGAAGGTCCGGGTCGATTCCCGACATGGGTGCAATGTGTGAAGCCCATTTCTGGTGTCCCCCGCCGTGAGGTGGAATATTGCTAAAAACGGTTTTTCACTCACTCTAATGAACGCATGGGTGAGATAGATTTAAGACCCATAGCTGAGGTACATAAAAATGGCGCGTACATGACTGAAGTTGTAATTATTGATTGGACGATATATATTGTGTAGTAATGGGTGTTTATGAGAGGTTATAATGGGTCTGTAGGTGAGGAAGATCCTAATGGATGGGCGAGGGAGACTGCTGAGCACGACAGAACCCAAGAAAGCTACAAGAAAAACATTGTCTTGTAGTGACCAGCGGATGGCGAACATATGAAACGTAAAACGTGTGTCAATCAAGATTGCTTGTAATGACCACACCCTGTGAAAACTGATCGGACAGCCGGCCTAATTGTCCATTGATTACAGTTATGCTCACTTAAGACGAGGACAAAACAGACATATAATGAGTAGTGTCTTATTAAAGATGCCGATCTATGGATGCACGATGTCCACCGTCGTTTAATTGGCCGAGATAAAAAGGGTCTGGTCAGATAATTAGGGATAGGATTGTTTACGATATGTGGGGTAAACCGCCCCTCGCCCTCTCATTTTAATATAAACAACCTACTTTTTTTTCTCCAAATTGTGAAAGTGACCATATTAAGAGAATATAAATTAATCCTTAATAATTGAATCGTGGCGGTGAAGATGAAGATGTTTGTTTTTGTTTGTCTGTTGTTTTTATGGTTAACCCCACACACAGCCATATTCCCTGTAAGCGACAAGATAACTCCCATGCTCTAACATAGCCTTAAGACGGTCGTAGAGCTAATATCAATTTGTGCATGTAGGCCCAGGACTTATTTTTATTCTCTTATGCCGACTATTATATTTTAGTTGGTTGGTTGGTTGGTTGGTTGTTTAACGCCACACTCAGCAATATTCCAGCTATATGGCGGCTGTCTGTAAATATTCGTGCCTGGACCAGACAATCATGTGATCAACATCATGAGCATCGATCTACGCAATGGGGACACGATGACATGTGACGACGGATATGTTAAATGTGGACTTCACTGCACCAATACTCCGCGAATACACAATGCACTTAAGAACTACAAGAATGTAATTAGTTTTACTAAGAATGTTTCACTCCAAATATTAGCATATACCACAGTAGTGATCTGGTTGCCGTTACCGTATTCGTTCATTGGGTCGCGATAAACTGTTTTTTATGTCAGAAAACATTTTTAAGGGTGCCAGTGGATAATTATCATCGATTCCTTAACCAGCTGATTCTAAACAAGTACAGTAAACTATTGTTATAACGAATTCAAAGGGACTACTAATTTTAATTCACCATAGCCATAGTTCATCATAACCATTTCGACTAAAATGTACAGCAAAAAGCTAGGACCAAAATAATTCGTAATATCCGCCAGCTCGTTATAAGCGTAGTTTATTGTATTTCATCGAGAGTCGACTTATAGTAACACTTCTAGAAGCGAAAACAAAAACATGGCGGTTCCGTCACGGCGCCATCTTGGTTTCAACGACCCGTGAAGGTCCGGGTTAGAATGAACCTTCAGTAACCCTTGCTTGTCGTAAGAGGCAACTAACGGGATCGGGTGCTCAGGCTCGCTGGCTTGGTTGACACATGTCATCGGTTCCCAATTGCGCAGGTCGGTGCTCCTGCTGTTGATCACTTGATTGTCTGGTCCAGACTCGATTATTTACAGACCGCCGCCATGTAGCTGGAATATTGCTGAGTGCGGCGTAAAACTAAACTCACTCACTCTTGGCTTTTCGTTTACGACTTGGAATCCTCATGAGTTGACATTACATGGATCCCTTTCTCAGGTAAAGTGTGGCGACATGAACTGTAATTTCGAGTTAAAGATATGTCCGTCTAACCCGGACTAGTGGTTCTGTAGTCCTAGCCCACTCAGATACCGTGCCGCAGTTTAACATGGATACCCATGTTTTCAGACACATGGGCGGTGGGGTAGCCTAGTGGTTAAAGCGTTTGCTCTTCAAACCGAAGACCCGGGTTCGATTCCCCACATGGGTACAATTTGTGAATCCCATTTCTGGTGACCCCCGCCGTGATATTGCTGGAATTTTGCTAAAAGCGGCGTAAAACTAAACTCACACCGTGAAGTCAGGAAATAACCCCTTAGAATACAAAGTCGTCTAACTAACAAGGAACATGAAAAATCAGTGTCCTCTTCGGGACGATATCCTCTATAATAAGACCGTGACGCATTATATACATCCTTCTACATCGACGAGACTTGCAGCTATACGTATAACACCATTGTGTATGCACACGCCACACGGAGAAGGTCAGTATAAGTGTATATCATGTCCTCCATTTGTATCTCGTCAGATTATCATATTGATGTACGCGACGAATATAGATTCCCTCACATCTCCGTCTCCTCTGTCTGTCTGTCTCTCTCTCACACACACACATGCTCTCACTCTCTCACCTCTCTCCCTCTCGCACACACACTCTTTCACAGAGTGAGATACAAACATGCTCTCACTCTCCCTCACATACCCACCCAGAGAGACACACACATCTCTCTCTCTCTCTCTCTCTCTCTCTCTCTCTCTCTCTCTCTCTCTCTCTCTCTCTCTCTCTCTCTCTCTCTCTCTCTCTCTCTCTCTCTCTCTTTTCCCTCTCACTCTCGCATTACTTTTGATGAGAGTTATTTTAATATAAAAACATTTCATGATAGCTTTTTATGCATTTATGTATTGAGAACAATGGTGTCCCCAAATGCTTGTGATAACTTTGGCTC